AAATTTAGATAGATAAGGCCTATTATTAAATCTTCTCATGGCTTCCCTTTAGTTTCAGTAACAGAGTTTACATTATACCTGTGGAGATAAAAAGTTCACTAAATGCATATTCAGGCTGGCAGTGATCTAATGTAACAGGGTAGATGTTATGATTTGCTCTATTCAGGCAAGACGTTCATTCTTTTAAATATGTTTACTGCTTTTTCTGTAGGTATAAATGATACTTGCAGAAGACACTGCATGATAGTTTAGGTTTTGTAGTAAAATGAATTATCAAACTTCTGACATCCTAACTGTATCTCTGCTCTGAATTCAAAATGAGGAAACAGTTTTGGTATTGGAGTTCATTCTGCTTTGTCTGATGGCATTGTTGCTGCAGARCTGGTGTACCACATGTCCATTTTTCCCTAGGCTGTATTTGAACKCTTCTTCCTTTCAGATGCTTTGTAACCTAACTACCCTCAAATAAGCACTTCATTTATTCCATGGGCAGCCCAGGCACAAGTGTGAAATCCCTTCAAACATTATTTCTTTAACTGCTTTTATAGGGGACATTCCATTTGGAGGAATAAGTTGCATTTACCTTTTGTGTCTGAGTTTTATGAATGATACATAAATGTTGTTTACTGTTAAAATGGCAATGGTCTTTCTGTAGTGTCTGTGTTTTATTAAAGTAGTGTAAAAAGAAAACCACTAAAATGATGTTACTAGTGGGTGTCTGATTGCCAAGTTAATCTCTTATCACAAGTCCCATTGATCTTCTGTTTGAGCAGCTGAGAGTCTATTTTATGTATAGCGATCTTTCATAAAGTTTATTCCTGGTAATAAAGCTAACTGGGGTGAGTGCCAAGCTATTCTCAGAGACAATCTGTTCTCTCAACAAGAGAAGGATTTTATTTTGTTAGATGGGCTTATTGTTTGGGTATGTACTTGTGGCAGAACTAGTGAAATTGCTAGCGAGTGAGTCAAACTAGGTTCAGAGGTGTACTCTTACTGGTATGAACTAAATGGCATTGCTGCACAATAGACATTCAGATCTGGCTTTTAATATGATGCACAGAGTCACATGCATTTTCTACTTATTACAGTGTTGTATTACTAACTTGGATTGTTAATCTCTTCTGTGGTGTTGTAAAAACCTTAAAAAAAACCTTCAGAAAAGAACCWAATAAACCCCGTGAAACAAGTGAACAAACAAATCAACCAAAGAAACAAAGCCACACTTAAAACCAAATCAAACAACMAAAAAAMCCMAAMCMAARRRGRAAAAAAMCMAAAAAAAMCAAAACAACAAAAAAAGCCAAACCAAAAACCTCCACCCCAGAATTTTGTATGTAATAGGTGCATTCAATTTTCTTTTGTGTAAGAGGAAGAAATTTTAGCTCACAGAGCACACAGAGTTGGTTTCTCTGAAATTAGGTTGTTTTTCAGTTTTTTGAAAATCCTTTTTCTGATAGTATTTCTGTTGACATACTTAATGTCTTCACACCAAATGTACTTGTATATTAAGAAAAGGAATAAAAAATATTAGTAGTTAACCTTCAGTAAAGTGACTTTATGAAGAYCAAATTTTATTTTTAGTGAAGTTTACTTGAGCTTTATTCCAGAGTTTCTGAATTATTACTGTGTATTCAGGGAAGTTTAATAGATAGCAGGGCAAATATTTTTTTTTAGCAAATAATTTGTCAGTACTCATGAAAATGCCTGCTGTGCACAACAGTCTGTATAAATTCCTATACCCTTATGGCAGTTTTGRGAAGCAGTGGTGGCTTAGCAAGCTCTGTGCAAATCCTTGACATTTCAAGGACAGGTTACAGTCTTGATCTGTTTCTTTGCTCTTGTCTGAAAGCTAAACTCATGGGCACAGGTACCCACCTTCTAGGAAACCACTCTTGAGCTATCTCACCTTAGCCTGTTGTTGCTGTAAATTTTAAATTACTGTCCAATATCTTTTTGGTCTTCTCTTGCCCTGATGACCTTGATATACAGGACTGCATTCAATTCCTTATGGATGCAAGGGGTAAGCACAGGTGCAGATGGTGACAGAAGCTTATGGATGTGCAAATATTGCACATGTTYCCCTTGGGATGGTGAGGGAATGGGGCAGGATTTGCACCCCAGGTATTGAAATACCAAKCTAAGGAAGTTAGGATGGAAATTCAGTAGGAGGCAGTAGACCAGAGGGATGCAGTGTGCCCTGTTATTTGCTGTGAGCTAGTCTGCTGGAGAGGATAAGGTGTGTAAATCTAATACCATCATTCTCCTGTCATGCTTCAAGCAGGTACTGATGTCTCAGGACTATCTGAACTAGCTCTCATTGAAATCAGGGGGACAGGTCGCTGGTCAAGCTACTTTATTGGGCTCTTAGCAGATTCGGTCAGCCTACCTGTACCCATTGCTCTTTACACCTTCAAAGAYATGTCTTTACCATCAGTCATAAAATTTAACCTTCCTTTTGAATTTTTCCTTGAAATCAGGAGAAAAGCACACAAAAAATCTGGAACTCACTTTTACTGTGCAACAACATATTACTCTCCAAAGAGAAGGTATAAATTATTATATACATATAAACAAACTGGAGAAAAATGAAGGAACCATTGCCACTAATATTAAGTATTTATAATCACAGTGGGAACAAAATTTTTTTCCTATTGCTCCTGCCCTTTTGAACTTAGGAATTTATTTTCCAGTGATTGGCAACCAACTGCAAATGATGGATAGTTTTCATTGCTGCTCTGCTTGTCCTGTGGTGGTCTTGATGGTGGCTTGGTGCTAAGATCTTAGCATAATAAAGGAGAAGCAGTTTAATTTTAGCTGTTTGTTGTACTTTTGGAGCCACGTATACCACAGGGTATGTTACAGAGCATCAAAGTGTGCAGATTTGTATTTGCAGGTAGTGATGTCCTTATGTGTGACTGCTTTGAGCTGAGAAGTGTTGAGTGAGTCTGTAATTTGAGCATCAAATAAGAACATGTATTTTCAAATATTTACAGAGTCTTGTGGGACAACTTCGGATTATTTCTTTAAAAACATGTATTCTTATCTGAAGCCTTGTTCCAAAGTCAAACTTAAGGAGGTTTTTAGTTGTTTGTTTTTCTGATTTTTTTTTTAGCCAGGTTAATTCTTTTCATGTGGAACTTTTAATGTTAGATTTAAAACTCAATACTAGTCTATACTGATTTTTTAATATTAGATCTAATCTGCATTTTCTCTAAATTAAAAAAATAATATTTATTGTGTGAATACCTTGCACAGAAATTTGGAAATAAAATACTGAAATGTTTGAGCTAATTAGAAATACTTCTGGAATAGTAATGGCAAAATTGCACTTTTACTGGAGTAGTTTAAAGTGATAGTGGTTTTCACTGGCTAAATGTTTCTTTAGTCATATATGTTGTTTGACAGCTAAATAAGAAATAATCCACTTGAAATAAGTAATTTCTTTAAAATGGGAACGCTTTTACTTAGCAACTGATCAGCAAYATGCTGGTCTGCTATACTTACACAGCTTTAGTTAACAGTGGAAGAGAAAACCTGTGTTTGTCACAAAGCCACTATGTTTGATCTGTGTGGAACTTATTTAGCAAATAAGAATGTTAATTTAGTATATACTAAGATAACTAGTTGTCTGAGGGGGTCAAGGTACTGACTTCAGAGGCATTTCTGAACAAAGATGTTGCAGTTGGTGGGTGGATGGCACTGGTCTCAGCTGTTGTATGAGCTTGCATAAATAGTATCATCTCCACTTTAATCTTTCGGGTGTTCAGAGGTAGTGTGCATATTTCTGTTTAACCCCTGGACACTTGCTGGCATGCATGACCCTTTAACAATTCCTATCCCTCTGTCCATCCCTGGCACCTTGGCTCCAAACAGTCTGGGAGGATTGCCAGTAATTTTGGAGCTTTTTGTAAAGAACATCTCTTCACCAAAAAGTCTTTCCATTTCAASAGTATACATTTTCTATTGTTCTTGTTACAGTAATGTATGGCACAAGTCTGAGGTACTACTTGCATCTCCGCTGTACAATAYGTACTCCTCTGTGTGTGCAAGGATCAGTTAAAAGATATTAAAACTGGTGATGTTGGTTACTGGACTTTGGCATAAGGAAAAAAAGCTTTTTGTTATGTTTCAAAAAACAGCAACAAAGGCTGGAGCCATGTGTTTCTTACAGAAAGTTGGCTTTTAAATTGTGTTTTAAATAAGCATTTGATTTACCTTATCTTAAATTTTGAGAATGAGACCGATACTTAAACCTTCAGTCTTCATGAATGTCTCTCTAAAATAAACACATCTTTTTCTCACCAATTTTTATATCACTTCAGAGACATAATTTTCATAGAGTAATTTTAAAAGTAATTTCTGAGGCTTGTGGATCTGGTGCTTTGGAGGGAAGTATCCATGACCTTTCAAGCATCAGAGCTTTCTGTGGATTCCTCTCCTAATTTTTTTTTTGATGGGGAGAGAGGGAATAGATGTGGTAGACAGTGTTGTTTTTGACAAACTTTTGGTACCATAAAGTTAATCATGGTCAAATACCAACGTGGTAAGTGTACTAGATGCAAAGAGGGGTCAAAAACTTCAAAGTGATCTGATCTGATCTAATCAATGACCTGTTTAGAGCAATAGAAAAAAGTAGAAAGAGAATCTTCCCTGCAACTACTACTTGTAAAGGCCTGTGCACATGAAGAGAAAGGAAATGGTAAAGCTGGGAAATGGTTTGCAGTAAGTTGGTTTCCATTTGTAGTGATGATCACACAGATTCCAGCTTTTATATTGCTCGAATACTCAAATTTCTTTTTTAAGGATGGAGGCCTGATGATTCCAGTGATGGTTCATCCAACAATCTATTTTCCTGAAAGTTTGACTTGTTCTAGTTTGTGTTAGAAGGAACTGAAGTAATAGTCATATTAAAATGCTAATAAAAATATGAAGGACACTATAGGTGTTATTGCATTATTGAACATCCTTTAGTTATGTTATTCCCCCTTATTTTTTTATAGCAAACTTTGGCCTGTTCCATTCTAACGGCGTTGTTGAGCGAGTTCTCAAGTTCAAGTAAAACCAGCAACATTGGACTAAGCATGGAGTTCCATGGTAACTGTAAACGTATATTTCAGGTAAACTAGTTCTATATTGATATAAGCTACCTCTCTTTCCAAAATTTAAACACTGAGWAGCAGAAGTACTTTGTTGTGCCAGGTGCAGTCAGGTACACTGTGTGCCTAAAAGCATTTAATAGGCCAAATACTGCAAATAATGAAGATATTGGCTACTCTAGGAAAATTGATAATGTATTTTTTAAAAAACTGTGTCAAAAAGGTACAAACCCTTCRTGCCCATTTCATGAATGAAGAGCTACAGATCTTTATGCAGTTGAACTCTTTAATTCCTTGGCTACCAATTGCAAACAAAACGAATACTCTGGAACAATGATAGTCTTAAATATAGCTTTGGTTTGAAGCCAGGGAGAGCTATGTATGTATTTTCAAATGTTATTGCAGATGGTGTAGTCTGGTTGTCTCAGATGTATTGTTTGGCCAGTCAGAAATGTTTTTGTGAAGGCATTGCTTTAAACTGACTATTGTGGAACAATTTACCAACTTTTTTTCATGCCAAAGACCAACTCTTTTCTCCACCACTTGTTAAAAACATATTGTTTTTTTATCTTTTAACACAAATATTTATGTGAGGACTTGTTCATACTCTTTGCAAATACAATCAATTAATTTAGATAAAAAAAGGGGTTCTCACTGACAATTTCAGAGTATTTTCTGTATTTAATGAAAACTAGGGTGAAATTGTAATTTTTTTTCCTCTTTGGAAAAGTATTTCTTGTTGATCAACATTTCATTAATGACTGAGATACTGAACGTGTTGTGTTGATCCTGACTGTAGGAGGACGATCTGCGGCGGATCTTCATGCTCACAGTAGAGGTACTTCAGGAATTCAGCAGACGTGAAAACCTCAGTGCTCAGATGTCTTCAGTGTTTCAGCGTTATCTTGCACTAGCCAATCAGGTCTTAAGCTGGAACTTCCTTCCTCCAAATTATATCCTTTCCATGTCAGGTGCTTTGTTTCCCTTGGCTTGGATCACTTCTACTGGGTGAGGAGTAAAGTCTTTTAAAAGGAGAGTAAAACATGAAACTTAAAACCTTTATGTTTAGTCCTTGATTTATGTTTTCTTCCATTAGTGCTTTTTGTCCCCACCATGCTTGCTAAGAGATGCTTATATACAGAAGCTGCTGTTGGTCTTCATTAAAGCTTAAAAGTATTTTACATAAAAGAGAAAGCAAACAGAGCAGTCCTGCATTACAGATTGATGGTCTGTCTGGTTGGTGTGGGGAACAGGAAATGTGTAATATGCTGCTTTAGTGTAGAACCATATGGTGAAGAGTCTAAGCCCTGTTCAATTATTATGCAGAGATCTGATCTGTCCTACTTTTCTCCCTCAGAGAAGAGCAAGGGGCARGCAAATGCCCCATCATGTAGGAATATGCACATTCAACCAACTCCCCATAAAAGAACATGGTATATACTAGAACATGGAATAGACTCTCTTCAGTCTGAAAAAAGTATTTGGTAGGTGAGAAGAAATGTCAACTTCGTTTTACACAGATGCCATCGGTTCCATTTTGACATTTTTTGTGATATCTGCTGATCATTAGTCCAGAGAAAGGAGGAATCAGAAAGAGAAAGTGAAGGAGAGAAGAAAACAAGATATAAAAATGTTCAATCAAAAAAATGGGCTAGACAAATATTGTAGAAATACTCAATCACACTCTCTATTTAATAGAGGTTTTAGACAACATGTGTAGTAAATCATTATAGTACCCGTTTTAATAGCCAGACTGCCTTAGMGAAACTTTCCAAGAGCCAAATTTTTAAAATGGTTTATAAAACTTTTTCTTAAAACCTTTGAAATTGCTACCAAGTTATACATACTGCAGGAATCTTGATGTTGCCCTCAAATCCACTGTGAAGGATTTTATTTGCTTTCCTGGTGTGACAGTCAGAAGGTGATACCTTTGTGTTTTTGTTTTCTTTGCATCTGTTCATAATGCAGTAGGCAGCAAAAGTAAATTTATTTGAAACTGGATATTTCTTGGCTCACATCTGTAAAGCAGAATGCCAGTTACATTTGCTTTAAGCAAGGTTCCATGGATTAAAAGTAAATATCCCACTTCTATTCATCCCTGAAGTGATTTGGCAGGGGTTCAGAGAGGAATTTAGTGCATGTGCCTGTAAGATGGAGACTGTAGTCAAATTATTGCAGTTTATAAAAGTCTTTGGATGTGGATTTAGGATTTGAAATAGAAAGGAAATGTTCTTATATTGTGCAGTGGTGGTTCCCTCTGAATTTTAGTCTGGCTCTGCACAAATCTCTGATACAGCCTTAAACACAGAATTATGGAATGTTAAGGGATTGGAAGGGACCTTAAAGATCATCCAGTTCCAACCCCCCTGCCATGGGCAGGAACATCTCCCACACTACCAGGTTGCTCAGAGTCCCATCCAACACTTGAACACTTCCAAGGTTGGGGCATCCACAGCTGCACTGGGCAGCCTGTTCCAGAGCCTCACCATCTTCACAGTAAAGAATTTCTTCCTAATAACTAACCTGAATTTCTTCTCAGTTTGTGCCCATTACTCCTTGTCCTATCACTGCAGATCCTGACACAGACTCCCTCTCCAGCTTCCCTGTAGGTCCCCTTCAGACACTGGAAGGTTGCTGTGAGGTCTTCACACAACCCTCTCTTCTGCAGGCTCAACAGCCCCAACTTTCTACAGGGCCTTCCCTGGACTTACTCCAAYATCACATGTCCTTCTTTTGTTGTGGACACCAGAATCGTAGTCAGTACTCCGGGTGGGGTCTCACAAAAGCAGAGCAGAGGGAAAAATCACCTCCTTCAAACTTTTGGTGCAGCTGAGGATGCAGTTGTCTTTCTGGGTTGTAAGTGCACATTGTTGGTTCATGTGGAGTTTTTCATCAACCATCACCCCCAAGTCCTTCTCTGCAGGGCTGCTCTTAATCACTTCAACCTGTAGATGTGTCTGGGATCATGGTATATTTTGAAAGTGAAGGCTGTAGTTCTTTGTGAGCTCTTTGTCCTAGGCTAAGGTTTGCACTGGTGGAGCTAGCTAGMTAGATAATATGTGGAGCCTTGGAATTCCAGCTTTCCTTTATGCATTTATATAATACAAAGTGATTTAGGTGCTTGTAAATAAATGTTCTAGAAATAGCAAAGCAAGCCATACTACTGCTTAAGGTTAATCATATTTTCTGCTTCTTGGCCGAAGAAGCTTTAGGTACTACAGCTGTTAAACTAGTTCTGGCCATTTCTGGAGATCAGATGGACCTTTAATCTGATCCACAAGTTCTCTTAATGGATCCATTTCAAATATTTTTGTAATTTCTGATCCACCTGATAGCATCTTCTTATTTTCTACCACTGGATGTTTCATTTTGCTGTAAGAATTACAACACTGGCATCTTCCTTTATGTATCAGCCAGTTTTCACAGAAGTTGCAACATCTTCAATCATCCTTGAGAAAAGTTGGTCTTAGCTGCCAAAGATTTGGTGGCTATTGGGGTTTACAGTGCCATGTTGATTGTATTGTGGCATAAATCTCTTATCCTTAAGATGACCTTTTTAAAAGTAACTGTTGGTTKTTGGATCATGAGCAGTGAAAGTTGGCTTGGCTGTAGTCTATGAATAGAACATTACATGAGAAGCTAAGAATTGCTGTGTTGATTGATCAGTTAGAGTCCTTTTGGTGTCCTCATTCCAAATCTTGACAGTTCATATGCTGAAGCAATAGACATAAATTTAATACTCGAAGCATCAAGTAAAACGATTCATTGTATTCTCAGATATATTCTTTTCCCTTTAGTTGGTATTTCCCCTGGCAAGAGAGTATGGATTTTCAGTATTCCCTGCAGCATCACAGTAATCTGTAGGATATTTATGCAGTCTTTAGCAAAATTCTTGTATCTCCAAAATGGGGAAGTAGCATAAATATGCATTAACKGTGTGGTGACCATTGCAAAGAGGCACATTATTCATATCCCCCAGATGTGAGAATTGCATCAAAAGATACCACTTCTCGAGAGTTCTATGCTGTTATAGAACAACTTGGTAAGTGTTGCATTGTTAATGCAGTCTTGGACAGTATTGCCATGAATTGTAATGGAAGTTGTTGTAAATCTGCATTATCTGTTGCTATCATGAAAGATGCATTCTGGAATACCCACCTCATTGGAGCAACAAAAGAGGAAACTCTGGGACCTTCCTAATTTCAAATTGGAACTCGGTATTTTTAAATTCTCTTTGTATGCAATAGGAAGGACATGGTATACTGACCTAGGAGGCCTCCTGTCAGTCATGTGCAGTTTCTCCTGTTTCATTTTCCAACAATCATCTATTGTTATTTTTATCTGCTACCTTGGGATATTAGTTTACCCGATGTTTGTGTATGCTTCAGCGATAGTATCTTGTGGCAGTGTTGGCTTCTGTGTGGTTTCTTTTTTCAGTGCTATTTACAGTATTGTTAAATATTATTTTCTTGGATGGAACTAGTTTTATCTGCATCTTTTCTTAAATTAATGTTTTGACTAACTAAGGAAGTGCAGTTAATCAGTACTAAATGGTACAGCTCTCTACAAAAGTTCCTTCAAGTATATTGTGAGTATCCAAAGTCTCCAGTTAAGAAGCTGAATATTGCTGGGCTTTAATACCTTGTCATGGATGTACACATCCTCTGAAGTCAGTATGTAATTACAATTTCTATCATTTTACTTCCAGACTTACTTCTCTCGTCTTGGTTTTAGGATTTTTCTGTTCCTGGCAGCCATATTGTAATGGACTTTGGCTGAACGTCCTCAAATGCAAAAGTTCTTAGAACATAAGAATTGTGTCCATCTGTCTCCCATCTGCAGAAAGGTGTCTATTATCTTTCWTTGGGAGCTGTCATAGAAGTACTTATCCTTATTCCTCAATGTACAGTTTATGGTACATGGATAAAGAGATACTGAGGCTTTAGTTCTGGTTTTGGATTTGATGTCTATACTTGTTCAGAGGCAAGCTGGCAAATTTTCAAGTGAATGTAGAATCGGGGATTTAAAATGCAGGTTATGTAAACCTAGTGGTTTGCACTCTACTAATACACATCATTCCTGTTCTATTGGAATTGTTGGTGCCATGGTAGTTGTATGAACTGACTGAAGCTTTTGTCAGATCTGAACATTTTAGTGTTCCTTGGCAGTCAAAGGAAGAAAATTCTTAATATCTCTCTTTCGAAAATGTCTTTTAAAYCTCAAGCCAGAATGAGACACCTGTCTGGGAGATTCTGTGAACCATGTAGTTCTGCAGACTCTTAAGATTTGAACTCAGTCCAACCCAGATTGGTAGCATCTGTTGTGCATAGTGGAAGTGCATGAAAAACATATAGAACACTTGAGGCTGGTTTTTAGGAATGATTCAAGTTGGCATTGCTGCTAAAAAAGCATCCTGCCTTATCACCTCCCATAAGCATGATGCAGAGCAGGGAACCACCTAGCTGAAAATGTGGTGGCRTTTTTTAGCAGGTTGTGGCCCCCGGTTTGATTAATTGCACAACTGTAGAAATTATTCTACTGTACCAAGGAGTGACAACATAGATTTCTTCAGCAGAGTGGCTGCTTTCTGTAGGCTGTGTGTTAGGAGCCTGGATTTATCCTGAATTTACTGCAGCAGTCTGTTTTTACCTGAAAAATGAAGTGTTGGGGCACTATCTTGTCTATTGTTTGGGATACAGAACAAAATCCAATGTAACTGAAATAGCTGTATTTAAGAGAGCTCCATTTTACTTTTCTCAGACTTTTATCACCTACCACTCTTAGGTGAAAACTGACCTGACTTTGAAATCCCTGATGTTTAGAAATTATTTCTAGGATACTATGTGTTTTCTTGTCAATCCTTTCTAGCAACTTGTTAACAAAACATTGGGCAAACCCAAGAAGATTGKCAGGTCTCCTGAATTTAGTCATAATTGCCCTAAACATATTTGTATTGATGTTGAACTTTTTAACAATTAGTCTTCCATAATTTCTGTTTTCTTGAATAAATTCTGTAATCAGTTTGCAATGTAGGAACATCTTCAAAGCATTAATATCAGGAGAGGAAAAGAGACCAGGAATGACCATTTTTATGAAGGGGAGCTGATATTCTGTTCTCCCAGTTTTGCAGTGTTGGTCACAGCACCCTGGATGGCAGCTGGTGTGTGGTGGAAAGGTGTGAGTCCTCAGCCTCATCTGCRTGGCAGCCACTTGTGCATGGGTGCTTTAAGTGCAAGTTAGGCTGGAAGTGATCAACTTGCATACCATAAGCTGCATAACCATAGCAGCAGAATGTACTGGGAACTGCAGAATCTGCATGGGTGGTCATGAGCCTTGGAACTGGCATGGCTCTGGAATTGGCCAGGTTTAAAATTAGCTTGGGTGTTCCTACACTTCCTACTCCTGTTGCTGCAATCCGAGTCCGTTGTCTCCAACACAAAGTATTGTTTCATTCTTGTGACAGTTAAGAACACTTGTGTTTAATAATTAAATATTTAAGCATATGCTCCTTGTTCTGGTTGCTGGATGTATTTGCTGAGAGTGTAAGGTATGGAAAGGTCTGTGAGGGATTTTTCCATAGGGGGCAGCAAGTCTCTGCATCACTTCTAGGCAGTTTCTCCTTAGACTTATCCCATGTGCTTGGCTCACTAGCTAGGAAGCCAGAGGAGGTCTTAAAATCTAGATAAAGTCAGTATTTAACATAACAGTGGAGGGCAGAAATTACCTTTCTAATGCAGGTTTTTATTTTTAGAATGCAAGTCTACAACTGGCACAAAACTATTTAGAAATACTTTAAACCACAAAAGTTAAAGTGATTAAAATAGCTTTTAAGGAAGATACTCAACAGTCCAGGAGTTTTTTCTCCATTTCTGAGATGTTTTTTGCTCCTGTGCACAAACTTATGAATGGGGTTCTAGTAGAAGTCTTAGTTTTGGTTTTTGAGTTCCAAACTTACTGTTTGTGGAAGAACAAGCCTTGTTTGTCTTGGGAAAAAAGATTGTGGGATTTATTCTCAGATACTGAAACTTGTTGAAATACTGAAGTRAAAATTATAATCTTTCATGGCTGCCTTAGGATATTAAATATTTTTATATTCATCTTTGCCTATCAGTCTCTTCCTGGGACGAGGGCTATGAGTGAGAGGAAAACTACACATTTGTTAGCCTTTTATTTTTGTTGTTTTAGTATATTCCTCAAAAATAGCACATAAATCTCAACCTTTCTTTTTCCTAAATTAGTTTTAAAATTAAAAATGTATAATTTTTTTTAAAAACTGCTCTTGTTTCCAGCTTATGGAATGAACCAAGCATGGAGCTAATGTCTACATGCATAAATTGAGTTAAAGGTAAAATAAAATACCTTTTAACATTATGGTCTTCTCCCGTTTCTCTCTAGGCACTAAGAGCCAGCATATGAGCTTTATCATACATGAAGGCTTCTAATTATGTTCTTACGCTTTTTAATAGAGTTCTGTTCACATCATTGAATAATTTGATTCWTGCAGAAGATTCTGGTGTCTGAAGGAATCAGTGTCCTAAATCTTGCAAAATGGGTGAAACGTTGACATGCTTCTTATAGCTGTTTGTTAGACTGGATTTCCATATCATTCAAAGTGAATTGTATTAAGAGTTAATCATTCCTCAGTCAACCTGGGTATGTTAGAAATAGTTGTGATATTATCAGAAGTGGTTTACAATTGTTTTTCATTTTGGAAACAAAAAAACCTCCAAACTCTCCAGAATGTCATAGTAGACTAATCTGTGCTTATCATAAATCTATGTTGTAAGTCTAAATCGTAAGTACAAACTCGAGTGCTTAGAAGTGTAGTGCTAGTTCTGTACTCTTCATTTATTCATATTTCTTGAGAAGAAAGTTAATTATGGGTGATGAAGAGTGCATTTGTCCTGTGCATACCTATGTGCCAGGTACTTTAGCGCTGTTTTTCAGGTTTGGCATAATGGGATTTCTGCTAATAAAAGTGAACCATAGAACAATGTAAGCTGGGTACTTTGTGTCAGTAAGCATCTCCACCGACAGTTTCTGCTAATGTTTGCATCCATTTAGTAYATGATGGAAAATGGGGGCAAGATCTCCATGATAGGTGGGGTCATAATTTGTAAGTTCAGTGAACAGATATTTTACCCCCAAATTTCCTATTGTCAGATGTGTCATCAGTCAGTTAGCTTGAGAAACAGGACTAAAAATAACAGGATAGTTAGTCTTGTTAAAATAGCCCTTCTTTCATTCCACATGAAAAGCATTTTGTAGCTGGTCCCCTCTTTAGACTTAACCTAGCCAAGAGTAAATTTGTTTTCAGAGATTGATAATGTGTTTATGATTGTCTTCTGATAATATTTATAGTCCATTCACTTATTAGAGAATCACAGCAAAGGATATTTTTGTCAGTAAACAATTCTAAAATACCATTTGGATTAAAAGCTTCTAAATAAAAATGCAAAAAGGCATAATTTGTGAGATAAAATTAGTTTTTATTTAGAATATTACTCCTAAGAAAGGATGCTAGCATGTGATAATTTCATTAACTTTTGGGGTTTTTTTTAGTGGCTAGAACCAAAGCATATTTGATCATTTAAATTGCATCAGTATTTCAGATGGAAGTAAAGTAGAATATTTTGTGACTTATTTTTTCCCCGTCTGAAATAATGCAGATGTGATATAGTTCAACATACACTGATAATTTTGAAAATTGTGAAACTGGTTTTATTTTGCACTAGAGTGATTGTTCTTACACAGCATAATGTGCTGTCAACAGTCCTGCATGCATACCATCAGTGAAGATCCACTTGGTACTGTACTGTGGAAAAAGTCCCTTTTTTGGAATGTGGTTTTGCACAGTGTTATTAGGAATTTTGTCTTGTGTCAGAACTCAGAAGACGAGTATAAATAAAWTGAAATTGTGCTTCCTGCTTTGTGACTCAATTTTTCATATTAAACTACATGCTTGCTTTAAATATTGTTCCCTTAAACAGAATCCATCAAAAGTTAAGGGCTCTATTGTTTYGAACGATTCCATTGTAAAATTTATTTCCTTCTAAACATAGAAATAGTTTCTTACACACTTTTTTATTACACTGGATTACTTACAGTACAAAAGATAGTGCAGTTCATTACYAGTAGGTAAATTACTGTGCAGCTCAACATGCGGTTGCTTACTCTGATGGTTGGGTTAGAAAGGGATCAAAGAGGATAATCTAGGGTTTAAGAAAGACAAATAAAACATAAGTTGCTAAGTTAAAGTAGTTTTACTATTACTTGGAGTGGGGGGTGTCACTAAGGGAAGTACTTACAAAAATTTTTTATAAAAACTCTTTTGTGATCAGACTGACAAAGAATTGAACCTGTTTGTTTAAATGTTTTTGCTCATGTCTCTTTTTTTCTGTACTAGAAGATTTGCAGACTTTTGTAAATTAAGTTATGCCAAAATACATGGTGAGAGCTGAAATGAGTGCAGCAAAACTGTGCCTTTACAGTGTGCACATTTTTCATGTGCGTACCTTGCAAACATGTTTAATATGGCAATGCTTTGTGCTGAGTTGCGCTTTTGTTCTTCTCAGTGTGATTAGAAAATGTAGATTAATGCAGGGCTAACATATCTGCATTCTGTAACACATAYCTGGCTATTTAGAAAAATAGAATATAGATTTCACTGAACTATCTTTARCCATGGTAAGGCCTTTTTAAAAGCTGCCAGGAAAATTTTTTAGAAAATTATTTCCTATTTTGCATAAATTTTAACACCTGTTAATTGCGGTTGCTTTTTTCCCTTCTCGCTGTGTCACATTAGACACCCTGGTTATCAAAGTGATCGTATCGCTATGGTATGTCTCATAATTATGATCAAACTGTTATCTAACATTCCTGGAGCATTCTTTTTTTCAATACTTAATACCTTTTATTCCTTGGCCTCATGCATGAATTATGCTGTGTATGTGAAGAGGCTTAAAGTTTGTTTCCATTACATTCTTTCTGAATGGATCCTGTTGTATCTAGGATTTTTTTAAAGCCAAGTAGGAATGTTATTGTTGACCTTGACACCAGATAACTGGGCAGACATTATATAGCTATGTTTGAATCCTCACAAAATGTGATGCTAAAGCCAACAGAATCCTGGCGTGAGACCCTCCTGGACAGCAGAGTTATGGAGCTTTTCTTTACAGTAAGTTTCTTTCTTCAACTTTCATAGTCCAGACCACAGGGAAAGCAGCTCCTTCCTGTTCTAAAACTGTATTGTCGGACTCTTCCTTTTTCATCAGGTAGGACTGATTCTGTTCACTTCAGCTTGCTTATCAAAGCAGACAGAAATACTGTCTTTTTCCTAGGTTACTGAATATATATTTTGCCTATTAGTTGTTTTAAATTGATAACCACTAGCAACAGAAAAAAGGTGTATAGTTATTTAAACTTTYATACATTTAATACTTCTGGACCTGTGCTCGTCAGACAAAAGCAAGCACAATGCGCAGTAGTAGAGTGAATCTTTTGGATAAGGTGTAACGGCTCTCAGAAAAGATCAAATATGTGTTTACAGACAGTAAAGCATTTGCAGCTGAAAATAAGCAATGTCTTTGTAGTTTCCTAGCCAATTTCAGCATACAGAATTCTGTATCCCTCCTCAGCACAAAGGAAATTCACACAAGTTAAAATAGAGTAAGTTAGGAAGGATGAGGAAGAGGTAGTGTTGGGGAAGGGTATGTAATACTGAATTTCTGTAACTTAACCCCAGAGTATTAGAAACAGATAAAATTCATGTTGTTCTCTTTTTACAACTGTTGGGAGAAGTTTGTACGCATTGCTCAGCTAGGAGTYACTGCAGCAGCAACATATATTGGCTTGTAAATTCATTTGCTATGCAATTTGTATTAGGTTTCATCTCTTGGGACCTAAGAWTTCAGCATTCTSAGGCTTTTTTTCATTTTTGCAAAGCAGATAAATAATGCACTCAAAACTTGGACAAGGTTGTTRTTAAACAGTGTAAATGTAACTTTCCAGTGCTACATGACAGTATGTGTTTGGATATATGTCCTTACTTAATAAGATCTTTTGATAATTTTTTTTTTCTGGAAGTTTATCCAGCAGTTTTGAGAAGGTGAAAAAAATCACTGGCAGAGCTCTCAGCAGCTACACACAGTCTGAACAGCTGTCTAGACTATCCAGACAGTTGCTACTTCAGCTGTGAACCTCCACATACAAATAACTTTTTGGCTTGYATGTTAACCCTTCTTTGTTTAATAGTATGAAATTGTCAAAGTTGGATACTTGTTTCCTTGTTTGGTTTACAATTACTTACTTGTGATAAGAAAAGTATTTTTAATAATATGCAGATTTGTTTTAATACATTTGCATTTTACTTAATAGCAACCAAAGCTTGCCTGTATTCTATTATTTTTTGAATGAATCCTAGCCAGGGCAGTATGCTGTCAGTTCTGGTTTTAGATTCCTGATTTGCAGTGGTTGAGGCTTGCAGTAATAGTTTGCTGTTTGAAGTAATATAAGTAAATGGCAGTCATTTTTATTCATTTATTTGATCTGAGAAATTTTAATAACCTTGCAAAAGTTGGCAGAACTGTGTTAGAGCAAGAGCCTTCATTTCTAATCTCAGCCTCATGTGGGACATATATTAGGAGGGATATTTCTGTTGCAGAAAATACTTGTTTCTATTTGTTTCTCTTGCTAGTTTGATCTTTCAGGGATTAACTGTGCAGCTAATCCAACTAGTTATGAGTTGGGTGAGCTTGCAACTATAACACCACAGAGAAATGGTTATTGTTTTAACTGTGCTTCTAGTTATACTGTTACTGAAATAATTTAACTAAATTGCACTTTGGGTGAAAAAGCTACTATGTTTATTTWTTCAATAAGTCTTCTGTGAAAAAATGGGAGGCATGAGTTTAAAAAGATTCTTTAAATCCATACTTGACTGATTAAAATAAGTATGTGAGAATATATTTACTGGAATACTAAGATTCAAATCTAGAAAGTCTCAGTGACAAATAATGACGTAACAGTTTGCACAATGCAGGAAGATTGCTGGTGGCCTCATGTAATATAAGGGTGTTGCCAAGGAAGTGATGCATTCATTTTTGTATATGTCTTCAGTGTTTACCTCTGCTAAAGAAGCATCTATATGATCTTGATTGAACTTGTTGACTAACTTTAGCAAGACTGTAGCCTAGGCATAGTTAGCATAATAGAGATGACTGTCATTATTGCTGTTTTTAGAAGGAGCAGCATGTCTGACTGRCTGGCATCTGTTTCTCTCTTTAAGACATAACATTCAATAGTTCAATTCTCAACATGTAGGTGAGCCTTAACTAAATGTTAGTTTCAGTGAGTTAATTCATGGTTTGAGATTGTGTGAGCTGAGTCATGATTTTAATGTTTGCCATGGTTTAGGGAGTTGCAGAAACCCCTGTATTTCAGACTGAATGGAAGTTATAGTAAGCTTTTTTTGGTGTGTGCTCTTTTGGATTGAGAGCCATGTGACTGTTATAAGAACACCCTGTTTTCATGTATTATTAACTACCTCACTTCCTGAAAGGTACATCGAAAAATCAGAGAAGATACAGATATGGCCCAAGATTCATTGCAGTGCCTGGCACAGCTGGCGTCTTTGCACGGGCCAGTCTTTCCTGATGAAGGTTCACAAGTTGATTACCTGGCACACTTCATTGAGGGATTACTGAATACTATCAATGGGTATGTATGCCTGMTCTCTAAATTTAGAAGGCATCTTTTAATCTTTAGTTTGGACTGTGGCATATCTGTGTGGAGAAGTGGTGTGACTTGCTTATTTCTGGATATAATTTGTGCTTACTGTTGAATTACTTAAATTGAGAAAGAGCAGTTTAAAGTAGGTRGTGCTTATTACAAAGTATTTATTGAAATATTATGAATATTGAAATATTTATTAAAATATTATGAAGTATTGATTGAAAATGTATCAACAAAATCAATTCCTTATTAGAAAATTTCTTAATGGCAAAAACCTGCTATTTCTATCTATAGAATTGAAATAGAAGACTCTGAAGCAGTGGGAATTTCCAGTATTATCAGCAACCTGATAACTGTATTTCCTCGTAATATTTTAACGGCCATTCCAAATGAACTTTTCTCTTCATTTGTTAACTGCCTCGCACAYCTCACCTGTTCATTTGGAAGAAGTGCTGCCTTGGAAGAAGTGGTAAGTAGCTGCTCTCAAAAGAGTGGGTGGCCTTTTTCATTTCTCTTTATTTGTGACAAGCATAAGTGACATGAGAATTTGGCTGTTTTGTTAGTAATGGTTGTGGATTCAGTGGTTTTGTCCTAGATATTTCTGAAATTGCATATAGGAGGGTTTTCTTTTTATTTCACTCAGCTTAATGAGCATAATTACAGACTGGGTGCATCTTTCAGGCTTTATTTTGATTTACAGCATGACTTAATGTTTTAAGGGAATGGATTCACTTAAAATATTACAGTTTTAAGTATTGCTGACTTGCTGTTGTAGGGCTTCTCTGAAAAYTGTTGTAGATGATGAGTAGGTTACAGTCCTGAAAGTTTAAGATGACTACATGAACATATGGACAGACTGAAATTTAACTGCTGCCTAGAGTTCTGAGTCAGGAGTTTCTGTTTTAAGAGAATGTAGCCATTAAGATCTGTTGTTAACACCATACTTCTAAGCTGTTCAGCTCATCCCTTCATTGCTGACAGTTCAAATGGTAATTGTGCGTACAAATGTAGCACAGGAATTAAGAGCATTTTTTTCTGGTGGCTTCTTTCAAATTTTGGTTGTAACATTAATGAGCAGTTGGGGTAGCCCAGGTATTCTGCTTCTAAAAATTGCATTAAAAATAAAAACTACTAAAGAGATATAGTTTAAGGAAAAAACCCTGYAAGAGTTAAGGCGAATAATCTTGCACTTCAGCTATTTATGTGCAGTAGCTATAGATTTAAAATGAGACTGAAGATACTAACTTATGTTTCCCCATTATCATGAGAAAGTATGATTTTTTTTTTGCCTGTTTGGTGTAGTGACAGAGGTTAATTACCTGAGTTCGAAAATAATTATGTCTTTCAACTTTGTTAGGAAATACTTCTGTGTTTCTTTATTAGAGAACACAGGTGTATTAATTAGCATTCATTGCAGAACATTAGGCCATCTCTTCACTTCAAGGTTAAAATGTATTATATCTGGCCTAGTGCTCACTTAAACTTTTCAATTTTTTCATCTCTTATTCAAAAAATCGGTGTTTAAATTTAGAATCCAAAATACAACTAGTTTCCAAACCTTGTTGGTCAAAATTTGCATGCTTTTGTGATTTTCTAGTTGAATATTGRATATATGTTCTGGTGCTCACCAATMCATTTAGAAATGCTCCTGAAGCCTTTATAAAATTCAGCAAAATCAGAGGCAGCTGTCATTTAAATTCAAGGGACTAAAGGGATGTTCTTTCCTCAGTTAGTGTCTTGTTACTTGAGAACTAGAATATGCAATCATGTTTAATGAAAACAGTACACAACATAATGCCATTTAAAACACTAAATCTCTCAGCAAGATCTTGCACTAGCTTGTATCACTATCTGGTGCAATGATACCATGTGTTGTGCCTGTAGAAATACTGCTTTGCACCCCTAAAAACAATCTTTTGKCTTAGGAATGTCCCAGCCATAGCTAATGTGTTCCCAAGCTTCTTTTAGAATGCATGCACTAATATTTTCTGTGAGCTCATGTGCTGTCTGTAATTAAGAGCTTTCTGATAGATAAAATACTGTGTGTGTTTGGCTCAGTAGAATCCTCTTGATTCCTGGAGCTTTTCAGACATATGGAATGCAGGCAGGCATACTCCTTAAGCTTTGCTGGTTGGTAAAGCTGTTGTACCCATATTTCTTCCACTTCATCTGCCAGCAGAACATACCATGAGAACATGACAGAAACCCTGTCAAGGCACATGAAATCTACTTAGCTGAAGACCTGCTGTGAAAACTATCAAAATATGGAGGTTCTGAATCAAAATATGCAAACCAYTTCAAAGAATCTAATACTGATTTTCTGCCATGCGGAAAACCCCACAATCCAAACATCATGTTTGAATGCTGTTCCACATTAGCCTGCTGGTTTGAGTTGGGAAGATTGGCTGAAGGAAGTTGAAACATTTGCCTGAGCAGCTACACTGGTAGAGAGAGGGTAATAAGCTTCAGCAAGGTTGAGAATTAGTTTATGGGGCAAGGTGGACTGGTAATCTCTTCCTTTAATGGCACTGGGTGCGAGAGGAGGTGTTCGTCCACAGCTRTGCTCTGCCTTGCTCAACACTTAACGCTTATGCAGAAGTAGAAATCAAATTCACCTGAATTAGTGAAGAGTAGGAGCAGGATATGGGATGAGAAGTTAAATAGAAATTATATCAAAAGCATCTTCCTCTCAAAACTAATCTTAATGCACCATTCCTGTTTCACGATGTTTTTTAAATTATGTGAAGGCAGAGATCATTCTGAATTTGATTCCCTCTGCTGTGCTTCCAACTCTTAGCAGCTTGTTGCTGTTCGACAAACTTTTGAGGTGTGCTTTCTTCAAAGGGTCAGCAAACTAGGAAGGAAGAATTTTTTCCCCCCCCTGTATTAGAGGAATTAAGCATATTTACTTTAAATTTACCTGGTTTACCTTGCCTCTCCTGAAGATCTGGGTTCTGATCYGTCAGATTGGTTCAGCTCCCAGTCTACAGCACAGCGCTTTGTCTGTATGACATCTTTGGTAGCCCAGCTCTAGCTAAKCTGAAATAAGGTTTCTTTGGGACCAGATTGATTCAGAATGGATAAAAACTTTCTACTGTTCAGAGCATTTATTTTATGGAGGCACTTATTAGTCCTAGATTGCTTATGAGAATATCTCCAAGTGTTAAAATAATTTTCCTTTATGGCATTAACTTCTTCATTAYCTTTTCAAATAAATGAATTGGATATATTTGAAGGTATTTTGTTGTTCATAAAAACATGTCTGTTTATTTGTTTATGCTCTCAATTATTAAAAACTGTTAAAAATAATTTATGGAAGTTATAGATGTAAATAYATTACGTACATGTCAAACTACTTCCACATTGAATGACTGTCTATAAATTTATGTCTCCTTTAGCCAATTTTAAAAATGTGGTGTCCTTCTTAAATTTATGATTTATGTTAGTGTTGAATACAATTTTTCCTCTCTCCTTGTTACCTTTAGGTTTYKTTTTCACAATTACTTCAGTACATCCTGTATTTTGACTTCTGAAAATAAGACAACTTTGCAGTTACAAAAGGGTGCTGTGAAACTATCTTGAAATGCTTCCAGTGTGATATCAGTTTTTCCTCTTAATTAGTCATCCAGCCAGTGTTTTCTTTTCCTTGCCTGTTCATCCAACTGTGTTTGTAACTTCACTGAAAGTCAGGAATTCTTGTGTCTGGAGCATGATAAAGGCTTTAATATCTCTTTATTTAAGCATTGAACCATTTTACTAAGCTCTCCTATCTCAGAGGAACTTCTGTGAGCCATCCTGTAAAACTTCCTCTAAGAATTTTAACATCTTAGCAGGCTATTTAACTGCACAGTCACACTGAAGTTATTTGAAGTTGGATGTATCTACAAATGTTCAATTTTTGCATCAAAACAAAAAGTTGATAGCTACATTAAAAATACTTTTAAAAATAAACGGCCTCTTTGCTGATTGGGTTCTTCAGTTTGCCTACAACTCAGGACTTTTTCAGATAAGTTATTTCCTTTTGCAATTTATGTATTACATAGAAACACATGAATAGTTAAAAACAAGAAGCATTAGTTGAAATGCACCAAGTARTTAGAACTGCAGGCTTATTCTGTACAAATTCATTGGATTTTGGTTTGTTCATAGAATGAGAAGTTGTGATTCTTCATCAAAACTCACTATCTGTAATAAAGTTTCTTGAACACTAGCAGTCTTTCAGGAATTTCCTCTTGTCTTTTCTCTCTTTATTTCAGAAATAGTGGGATACCTATAAATATATWTGCAACACCAGTTGAAGAGAAATAGCTAAACACGTTGACAGGTTTTTAAAGCCTAGTAGGCATGAAAGCTGCAGTGACCTTTTCAATGCATCACTTCAGTTCATTCCAGTATTTTCTTGGCTGTCCTTAGATGGGTTGGTTTTGTGGCTGGTTTTTTTTTTTGCTTGTTTGTTTCAACAGTAAAAGAACATCTGTATAATAATGACGAATGGAAGTATGTTCCTCTGGTTTAGTTTAGGAATAAGGKTTTTTTTTTTTTCATCTTTTACAGCTTGACAAAGATGACATGGTGTATATGGAGGCATATGATAAGTTGCTGGAATCTTGGCTTACTTTGGTCCAAGATGACAAACATTTCCATAAAGGTTTCTTTACCCAACATGCTGTTCAAGTCTTTAATTCCTACATTCAGTGCCATCTAGCCGCTCCTGATGGCACAAGGAATTTGGTAAGCCTTCATTGTAATAGTTTTTGATGATAACGTATAGTAACTAGCCCATGTCTTTTGGTGTGTATGTATTATGTAGCTCAAAGCAGCTAGTATAGAACTGCCATTTGTGACTTTGGAAATAAAAAAAATTCCTGAACTTGTTACTCAGTTGTCATTTCCCAGTCTGTTTCTGTCATCCTGGAGAGGAACTAAAGGAATGCAAAGCTGGAAATCATTTTTTAAAAAAGAACAAAAATAAACGTGTAACTCAAATCAATGTGTATCTTGTTCTTTCTGCAGATACAGTGACTAAACTTTTGACCTTCCTTCTGGATTAGAGTTCTAGTTAAAATCCTCAGTGAAATTTGGGGCCTTTTTTATGAGTGTTGCCTCCCATACGCTATCTTCGAAATATAATTGACATACATAAATGTCTGAAAAAATGTGGACTGASTGTGCCCAAAGTACAAGAAATTTGGAATATCATGTGGTCTTTTTGGATAAAATAAATTCCTAATTGAGTTTTTGAACAGTTGATTGTCTGAAGAAAACTTGAAAGTATATCAAGTATCTCTTGAGCCATTGAGAAAGGAAGGTGATAAGTGTATTTGCCAGGAATCTGGATCTTACTAAAATAGATTCTTGTACAGAAAGTTGGATGCAGATGTTGGATGAATTAGTTGTTGCATAGATTCAATTCAATAACTGTATAAAATCTCTCTTTCATTTGATGCTGTGCAAAGATCTCAGAGATGCCTCATTCTGAAAAGCACTATGTAAAACATAATTCTGCTATCTCAGTAAGTAACAGATGGTAATAACAGTGCCAAAATTGAGAGAAATATTTCACAAGAGAACTTTGAATTCATGTCAGGCGGTCTTGACATAACTTGTATACACAGGTTAATTCATGTCATTCTGTGAGATAAGTCATTTATCCCATGGGTAACCTTTAAAAGCCACAGCTGGCATTTTAGAATGCTGCTTGTTCAATATCAAAGCAGTAACAGGAACTTTCTGTCTCTGCTTTGAGAGCAAGGGCTCACCCTTCAGTAAACAGCTGCAGCTTTGAAGTTGCCAAAAGAGAATGATTTGCTGGGTTACATAAAGAAATGATGGGTTAAAAGCACTTTGCATGAGGAGTTGTGTGGATTCAGTTTTCTGAGCCCTCTGTAGAAACAAAGCAGACTGATAGCTTTGTCTGGATTCTGTATTTTACTTTGTTACTTGCATTAATTTTATGATTATTAAAGAGATAAGAAACACTTCTAATATTCATACTTAGTTTCTAAATATCATGGTTCATCTCTTCAAGGAATAAAATCTGATTATAATTYAAATACTTTTAAAATGCAACCAAGATAAGCTTTGATAAATTGAACAGTGCAACTCTTGCATCAGCAAGAAATAAACCCGACATAATCATGATTATTAGTCTGCTGTTTTCTAGATTGTAAAGCAATATGAACCCATTTTGACTCTGTTTAACTCTTCTGTGTCTAATTTAGTACAAGTCTTGTTCATATATGCAAATTACCTTGAAAGAAAGAACCAAAATAATGCAGAAAATTGTGGTGATAAATTTAACAAATGTGACTCTTACTGGTTGCCTTTTATTTTGTTGAAATAACCAAAGACTGCCAATGGTGTGGCCTGTCGGGAAGAAGAAGAAATAAGTGAGCTGCAGGAAGATGACAGAGACCAGTTCTGTGACCAGTTGGCCAGCGTAGGCATGCTGGGGAGGATTGCTGCAGAACACTGCATACCTCTTCTCACAAGGTAAGTACAAAAGAAAGAAAAAGTCATGAATGCAAATTAATAGAGCTGTCACGTAGGAAAAGACTGACTTTGCCAAAACCATTTAAAACTGTGAAGCTATTTTTTTCTTATTTATCCACAGTTTGTTAGAAGACCGAGTGACAAGGCTCCATGGACAGTTGCAAAGACATCAGCAGCAGTTACTTGCCTCACCAGCATCAGGCTCAATTGACAATAAAGTGCTTGATGACCTGTATGAGGATATTCATTGGCTTATTTTAGTCACAGGTTAGTGAACAGCTTTAAATAGTATTTATTTTGGTAGTCTCATTGCAGCTGAGACACCTCAGGGGAAAAATATCCCTGTRAATCAACTACTCTCAATTGACTATATATTTGATCCTTTATGATGATTTCATCTTACCTATAGTACTTACAAAGTCCTTATCTTACTATCATCTGCCTTGAGTAACAGGAATATTATCTCTAAAAGATTACCTCTTTTAAAAGTTTCATCCATGGCCGTTGGAAATTCCTGCAACTAATTTTATTATAGATTTTTTGAATTGTGTTATCAGTCAACCTATTCAAGAAATGAGTCTGTTCATGGCACCAGTGATGTTGTCTGGGTGCACATGACTTTATAAGGGAGCCAACATGAGATCAGGGTAACGTGTCACCACTCAGTGGTGAGAAGAATCAAGTAAGTTCTCAGAATTTCATAGTGCTGATGATCCATACCCTGCCATTTTTATGTTCAGGGAACTTGAATTAGAACCTTTTTGAGTTTGATTTTTAGAGGGAAATATTTTACTTAGGATTACAAATATGTAGATAATAACAGCTAAGTCTGTACTTTGCTAGGAGAAATGTATAATATAGGAAATACTTCGTGGGATTTTTTTTAAGATCTGATGTTTTAGTTACTCTCAGATGTTAGCATGAGTGTGTTTATAATATTTTTCTAACACTGTGAGATGGAGGTTGTAGCTCACAGATGGTTATGAGATCATGTATTGAAAACTACAACTAAAGCTGGAATTAGTATTATCTAGATACCAGAGTATTGTGTGAAAACCCATGCTTCACCTGATCTGCACTTGCTAAGCAAGGAAAACTGTTATAGCATGTGTACTTGAGGTCTGAAAGGCTCTAACAGATTTGAGATGTTAGCAAAACAGAAGTTCCAAATGATGGACTCAGTGGGCAAGCTGTAAAATCAATGCTTTTTTACCAAATAGCAGAAGAAGAAAAACATTTGTCCCTCCCCCAAGTAGATGAATTGACTGTAGCACTTYTACATGAAGCAAAACTGTCTCTTTATTGATGTTTCAATTGGTGGTTTCTTTTTCCAGTCTTGGTTTCTTGTCACTCTCGKTTTTTCTCTACTGAATGGCTGTAAGGATTCTCAAGTCAACTYGTGTGTATTTAAGCAGTGTTAGTCAGGGTTTGTACAAACATTTGATTCTGGTGTGATGTCTGCAGCTAAGCCTATGGATTTTCTAATTGGAAAGCCATAAGTTAACCTAGGGTAGAAAGTTGTGATCATTCTTTCTTTTTTAATATAAGGCTACCTCTTGGCTAATGATACTCAGGGAGAGACTCCGCTAATACCTCCAGAAGTAATGGAATATTCCATTAAACATTCAGCTGAGGTTGACATYAATACCACACTTCAGATTCTGGGATCTCCAGGAGAAAAGGCCTCTTCCATCCCAGGGTACAACAGAACTGATTCTGTAATTAGGTAAGGATGCACCTTGTACTATTAAGTGTGTTAAATGCTTTTTCAGAGGAAAAAAAAACAAACCTGAGAATGTGAGTGGACTTCTGTGAATGTGAAAAGTGAGCAATATGTAAACACTGGACACTGAAAAGGAAGATYGACCTAATAGTCTTAACACAGGTCATGAGCCAAAGTCTTGGAAATAAACAGAAATGTTTTTTATATTTCTACTGAAAACCCATCTTTGATCTTTTTGTTACAGAAAATCCTTTAAATTACTTAAGTAAAAACAGTTGGCAGATCAAAATCTTTAGATAATGTATACTTTAAAATTAATTCAGCACACGTACAACTTAAGCAAATGCTTTCCAGAGCATGAGTGAGCTTCTCTACTTATAACAAGAGTTACTGCCCAAGCTTGGAAGTAGCAGCAAAATTGATTATCAGGGCATGAGGAATTGTTGTCAGTTACACACACACATCACTGTCAGCCAACAAAAGAAGCAGGAGAGATTTCACTTCTCTTTTTGCAAGAAGCCTGGTGCTCACAGAGGACTCCTCAGTTTGAATCCTCACACTTCAGRAGATTGATTCCATTCTTAGCTGGCATGGAGGAAGATCTTCACCCAAGATTAGTTGTTGCACACTTAAAAGTTGTCTTCTGGGAAGAAGGTAGAAAAAGTGGGTCTTCATTAGCAATGATGTATGTGCCTTTTGTTTAGAAGYTTGACTATTGCTCATTTATACTATYGGCCRCTTCAAGAAGTGGYCAGCAAACAGGTGCAAATTCTTGATGCAGTGTTTTGTGTGGTGGTGGGAATAAAACCAGATGTACATAAGGAGAGATTTGAGGCCTTCTGGCAATAACTCTGAATGTCTTCAAGAAATAGGCCACTGTCAGCTCCTAAATTTCCTGTGTATTGTGACACTCCTACTAAATTTGACAGACTACAAAAGCTAGTRTTTAATGCAGTTTTATGGACTGATCTTATTAATGAAATCACCTGGTAATTTACTATTTCAGACTATTTCCCTGCAGTAATGAAATAGAGAAAAATAACTCCTCATTTCCATATTTGTTTTTTTGGTATGTGTCACACTGCAAACACTGTACAATTAGAACCCAATTGGCCACTAAATGTTATGGTGCAAGGAGGGAAAAAGCAGGTTTTCAAAAAAGCTTTTCATACTACTCCCAGGCAGACCATTTGTCACAATGCTTGTGAGGATTCTTTGTTGTGGTAATCTTACTTTATGGAGGATGTTTGCCAGTCTATCCTGTATTTTTCTCTCTCTCCTGACATTTCAAAACCAATAATTTCAGGTGCTTTTTACTTGATTAGAGTTGACATGTTTTGTATTATCCTGATCCTTCTGTCATATTTTGTGAAAAACGAAAGTGKTTTTGGTAGCTGCATTGCTTCTCCAAAAGCTGCTGTCACATCCTCATTGTATTTTAAATCTTCAGGTTGTTATCTGCTATTTTAAGAGTGTCAGAAGTAGAATCTAGAGCAATAAGGGCAAATCTCACACACCTCCTGAGCCCTCAGATGGGCAAAGATATTGTATGGTTTCTCAAGCGCTGGGCAAAGACTTACCTCCTAGTAGATGAAAAGTTGTATGATCAGGTAAGGATATAAATTTTATGAATTAATTTGTGAGTATTAGCAATGATATTATCCTGTACATGTCAGTGTAGCTATTTAAAAGTGCAACGCCAAAGTATTTTCAGTGTTAAATGGGTTGTGATTGTTTCAGAATTTGTTTGAAAGTTGATGTTTTCTTCCATTTGCTAATTAGAAATATAAGTTGTTAGGGGACTCTTCTTGTACATTGTGCTGTAAATGTGATATTTATTTTTTTTTGGCAGCCATTGCCATATCAGAATAACATAGTGCTCCTGGGCTGTGTAGTGAGTTGAAACTCACTGACTGCAGTGATGTTATAAATTGTCACTGTCCATCAGATTTTACATTTCATCTCTAATACAATGATTGCTCTTGGTGGATGGTTTAGTGAGTAACCTCGTCATGATTCTGAGTTACATATTTAACCCCATCACAAGATAGTATACATAAGCTAATGTCATGCCACTTTCTCTTCTCATTCTCATTGTATATATCATGATTTCAACACTGTGTTCTTTGTAAAGGGCAACTTCTTACCGTGCTTGGACAGCACTAATTGTGATTAGAACTTGATCCTGATTTTGCTTATCAAACTAACTGTAATCCAGCTAGCTCACAGAGGCCAGTCATCCTGAGGAGGCCCTGTTAGCTCTAATTTTTGAGAAGTCTCCTCCTTCTCCCCTTTATTTCCATTATTGAAGCAACTAAGAATACTAACGCTTCAGGAGGCCTCTCCTTAATATCAGTAAGGATCACATGGACTTGTAAATATTTGTAGTTACATTATTCTGCGCATACATATAGCACAGCTCAGAATTCGTAAAGGTACCAGTGGAGGAAGAATTGGAGATCATGTTAGAAGGAGATCCACGTGAAAAACAATGTGAGGAAACAAAACAGAATGGCCAGGAAATGCRCACATTTAGTTTGTGCTGACATGTGAAAGTGACTGAAACCTCTATTTAAACTTTATGCTCAGTCATGTATATATCATGAGTTTTGAAGGTAAAAGTGTTAGTGGTGTGCTGACAGAAAGCCCCTCCATAATTACTGCAAAGTCTTTGGATTTCATACTTAAGAAACTTTCTTTAAGGATAAAAAACCAGGCAATTTCAAAGAAGCATATTTTAATATGCCAGGACCAGAGTGTGATATCTTTATTAAAAGATGTGTAGATTGAAAGAACCATCTACAGAAAGTAGGTGCAGAAAAATTGAGGTGAAAATTAATTTTTACAAGATTCTATCTAGATCAAGAACTAGGTTAATTTCTAATAATTTTTACCACTGACTTTTGAGGAATTAAGTCTTAAATTCATGGAAACACTTTTGGGAGGTGATTTTGGGATCTTTTACTTATTAAAGCTTTTGAACTTCCATTGGCTTTAAAAGCTAGTCATACTGAAACCTGATTTTGTAATGAGATTTAAGCTTTCCTTTGTTGTAGATGTTGTGCTTAAAATCACAAGATAAATTTGGCAAAGATTTTTCTATTGCAGGTATTCTTTGCCTTTGTCTATGTAACACTTGTGTAATTTAAGTAGGAAAGAAGTGACAGCCTGAAAAGAATTTGCTGACAATGATTGCCATACGCTTTGGGGTTTTGGCTTCTGTAAAACTTACTCATTTTAATGCTTTTCTTATAGATAAGTCTGCCATTTAGTACAGCATTTGGTGCTGATACAGAGGGTTCCCAATGGATTGTGGGTTACCTTTTAGAAAAAGTGATCAGTAACCTGGCAGTATGGAGTTCAGAGCAGGACCTTGCAAATGATACTGTACAACTGCTAGTAACATTAGTGGAAAGGAGAGAGCGGTAAGTTGCTATACCTCTGGAAGTCAGAAAGTTTCTTTTGCTTCCTTTAAACTTTTTTGGCCAAAGTAATCCAGATGTAGGGTGCTTCATATTCATGTCTCTGTAAGTCAAATTACTTTAGTAACATACTATAACTGAAAAAACACAATAAACTTGCCTGACAAGCTGAGTAGTGAGACCTGTATTTGACAAAATATCACCTAATTTTTATTACTGTTTAGAAGTGCATTCTCCTTCCCTTACTTTTGTGCCTCACTCTTAAACAGTGAGAAAGGAAAACTCTCCTGGTCTCCACTCTTATTGCAAGGATTTTTGTGTTGCTCTTAATTTTTGTTGAATGAGAGTTCAGATACTGGCTAAGCCAGTAGAAAATGTGTTTTGTAAACCTTACTTTTTTTAAAATACAGGATTTTGTGGATTCAGACAAATTTCAAGAAGTTTTCTTTGGTATTCCAAACTGTGAGGCTAGAAATTCTTGAATGTTTTATTTCTGTCAGCTGACATGAAATTATACAGGCAATCATACATACAATCATATATTCACAGAGAGACTGTTCTGAAGTTTGAGGGTTTTAAATGTTTGAGGAGTCTTCTTTTTCAAAAAACATTAAACCCCACAGTAGCTAGTTTTGGAATAATTGCTTATTTTATTATGATGTAATGAGACTAAGCTTTTAATCCATGCAGTATGTCCATTAACTCTGTCTGTATGTGTGTAAAACTAAAGCACTTCCCTGCTTTTCTCCTGTATGAATTGATCTATTTACAGAGTACATATTTTAGAAATCTGAGAGCTAGTAAGATGAAAATCAAAAGGCGATTTAGCCTCAAAATAAAGGAATTTTTTAAAAATAGCAACAAAAAAACTTCTGTCAGCTGCTAGAAACCTGATGTGCTCGATTCATACAATTTTGTGAAGTCTTTAATGAGGTTGTTTTTCCCTCTTTTAGGGCAAACTTAGTTATTCAATGTGAAAACTGGTGGAATTTAGCTAAACAGTTTGCAAGGCGAAGCCCTCCTCTGCACTATTTGTCTAGTTCTGTTCAGAGAACATTAATGAAAGCTTTAGTTCTAGGAGGTTTTGCTCATATGGATACAGAAACAAAGCAACAATACTGGACAGAGGTAAGCTATTTTGATACTTCTACTACCTCCATTTAAGCAAGCAGTACAACAAGTTAGTTCAGGGAATTTTACAGTGGCACAAAATCAATTTGTGTAACATATTTTGATATTTAATAGTGATGATTTTTTAAATTATTCTCTCTTTGATGGTCAATAATTGTATCTAAAATATCTCAAACTTAAGAGAAACCACTAACAATTTATTGGAGGGTTTGTGAAGCAGACAGTAGAGTAATATGTTTGAAAAAGACTACTATAGAAGATTAAAAATTTCCCCTGCACTGGGACATTTTTTCCTTCATTTTAATTTTGTGGTGTTATGATTATTCAATTATTACTTAATAATAATGACTAAGTAAAAAGCTGATGTAGAACATAATGAAGAGTCTTGACCACMTCTTTGTGCCTCTATTAAAGCTCAGATATTTAATACCAGAAAGACTGGTGCTAGAATGTAGATGAAATAGCATCAGGAAGCACAACATGACTTTGTAAAGCATTGACCTTCAGAGAAGAACTTGCATTTATTTGAAGAGCTACAAAATTAATGATTTAAAGTAAGACTGTAATGAATTGGAAGTAATTGGGAGAAAACATTTATCTATTTTTATGGAAGTTTGTAAATTGGTTCCAAATGCAGATGATGACAAAAATTATTCCACTATTGARAATCATAATATGGCAAAGATAACTGTGGGCATTAATGTTAACAGTTTCATTAATGAAACATAACCATTTTTTCACCTAATGCTGGATTTGAAGAGAATTGAATGCTTTGAGCTAGAGAAAGTCTTTGTCATTTGTTAAACACTACAAAATAACTTAGAATTTTTATGGAGGTGCTCATTTTGGAAGCCATCTTCAGGCCGTGATGGACAATGAGAAGCACTACTCACTACCATTTGTGCTTACATAAATGTGACAGACAATAACATAACCGAGCCATTGGAAACTGGAAGTGATTGATTCTTGTACTGCCATGCCAAAAGCAAAGGGTTTGCTAAATTATTTAAGTCTCACATCTCATATAATAGTATGTTTATCTTAATGTGACTCTTTTGAAAAATTTCAAGGTTCTTCAGCCACTTCAGCAGCGATTCTTGAATGTGATAAACCAAGAAAACTTTCAGCAGATCTGTCAGGAAGAGGAAGTAAAACAAGAAATCACTGCTACATTAGAAGCACTCTGTGGCATTGCTGAGGCTACCCAGATTGATAATGTAGCAATTCTCTTCAATTTCCTAATGGACTTCCTTAATAATTGCATTGGATTAATGGAAGTATATAAAAACACACCAGAGACTGTTAATCTCATAATAGAAGTCTTTGTTGAAGTTGCACATAAACAAATTTGCTATCTTGGAGAGGTAAATACAACCAGAAGGGGGAAGGAGGGGGCAGAGTGTGTTTGTGTGCACGTGCATGTGTGTAAATGTGTGTACAGTGCTATTCCTTAAATAAAATAAAAAGTACTGTTTTTTTTTTTTAATAGAGAGAAAGAAAAGCTATATGGACACATCAGTTAAGGAGTTCCTTTGTTTTAAAACATACACTTGCAAAGATTAAAAGTAGGACATTTAGACCGTTTTTTTACCAACAAATTTAACCACCGTTCATCACTAGTCTAACTCCATGCATGGGTAGCAGAAGAGGACAGACCATGCTGAGTACTTTTTTATAACAATATCAAACTTCTCTGAAGTCTAGTCCGGGAGAATTGTAGCACTGTTTTATGCGGCACATGCATACATAGACACTGCCTTGGTCCTAGACAAGGAATTAATAGATACCAGGAAGTTAACAGTTAAAATTTTGAGCTTGTGCAGTGCACTTACATCTTTGCACTGTTGGCTAATTTTGTTTTCTCATCTGGAAGAGTTCCTGCCTTTCTAAACTGGCTATGCACAGTGTATTGTGGCTCCAAACTTCTATAAGTAAAGTGCATCCCCAGGGGATTTTGTTGGTAATGTAGTTTGTGAGATTAGTGAGATGTATCAGTGTGTCCCAAGCCTCTCTTGCCTGGATTATTTTTAAGACTGAGGAATCAAAAAAAGTAATGCTTTGCTCTTTAAATCAGTAGCACATCAATATATGGCTGTAAGTGTTCTTGTTGTCTAAGGTGGCTGTTTCCTTGATGATTTTGTGTACGATTGGTACAAAAGTAGTCATATACTGAAATTGCCATCTTGAAGTGTTGACTGCCRAGTAATGCCACCTTAAAACAAAGTGTGTCACTTATAGCATATGGAAGTTTTCTTACTATGTAACATTGTTTTGTAGGCCAAAGCCATGAACTTGTATGAGGCCTGCCTAACTCTGCTCCAGGTGTATTCCAAGAATAATCTAGGTCGACAACGGATAGATGTTACAGCAGAAGAAGACCAGTACCAGGATCTCCTCCTTATTATGGAGCTTCTCACAAATCTTCTGTCAAAAGAATTCATAGATTTCAGTGATACAGGTATTAGGGAATTGGTAATTGATGAACCACAAGTTGTCTTCTAAAGTATAAGAACCATTTTGGGGCTTGTCTATATAAAGTGAAAGCTGAAGTTTACGCTTGGCTAGATCAGGATGTGGAAATTCTATTCAATGTAGCAAAGGAAGGACTTTTTACAATATTCTAACATCTGAAATTATTATTGCTGTCATAAAAGAAATAAGGCATGTATGAAACAGGTTGAAATCTGAAAGTTGCTAGTCATCTTAACATGTTGTACCAGCAGGTGTATAACAAAAAGTACATAGAAAAGTTTGTGTTATAAAGTAGTGCAAGAGGGCAGTAGTAGACTTGTAGTACAGGATTCAACTTCTGTGAATGTTGAGCTCATTAAAATTCCATCATGTGAGGGTCTTCTGTATTCCTCTTTCACAGAACATGGTTTGTAGGTGTAGTTAAGGGTTCCTTCTTGTGTCCCARTCTGTTACTTTCTTACATGTATGTGCCACTTGAAATTGCAGTTGTCCTGAGCATGTTCTGCCAGTTAGCCATGGTACATCGCTTTTGAATAAGCCAAAATACAATTGCATGGTTCATATTTCACCATGTTCTGTACGCTTTGCTCATGTAACAACCCAGACAGATTGAGTTTGCTACCAAGTATGCTTTGATATTCATTGCTTTTCTGAGGTACATCTTGAAAGAAAGAACCTTGTACTCCAGAATTCAATACATCATTTTATTTTTTCATCATGCATGTACAACACAAGTACAGAACCAGATTTASAGTTTGTTCACTGAATGGATAACCCAATGCTATGTATTTACTTTGAGACCTGGGTTTTAGTTGTGTGTAAAACACTGTAAAATTCTTACCATGAAACTAAGTRATATGAATAAAACCTAGATGCAATGCCCAGAGATCAAATGTACTGCAAGTTTTCTACATATTGCTGCTGACTCAATGCAGGAATCATAAAAGTAAGGCCACTGCCCATTGATGGAGAATGTAGGCCTCAATCTGTAACTAGAGAAAACTTGGCAGCATCCGAACTACAGAAATTTCTATAATGGCTCTCCTAATTTTTTCTCCTTCTGTTTATAAAAGATATTAAAGCGTATGTAAATACAATATATATATATATTAAAAGTATAAAAATGCAGTGATATTTTACTCACTATCTGTTTATGTGTGCAGGCACAAAGCAGCTATTACTACAAACAAATGCAATGTTCTGTAATAAGGGAGCCCTCAGAGTATCTGAAGCGTTCTGGTTTAGCATGCCATCTGGTACAAGTGATTATGAAATGCTTTGTCCTAATGCATATAAATATAGAGTGATGTGACAGCCTCTACTCACTAAGTTTCTATTTTAATACAGTGCCTCATAGTTTTGTTTGGAGAGAGGGGACTAGTCCTATTTTTAAAAATGCCATTATTATAAAGAAATGGGTCTGTTGCTTCAGTATGTTTAATCCTCCTTTTATACAAAGTATTTTTTGTCTTTTGTGCAGATGAAGTATTTAGAGGACATGAGCCTGGGCAAGTTACAAATAGATCTGTATCAGCAGCAGATGTTGTCTTATATGGGGTTAATCTAGTTCTGCCTCTAATGTCACAAGATCTGCTGAAGGTAAGTATATTTTTACACAGAGCTGCTAGAATATGAAAGCTTTATAGGAATGAATTTCCAGAATTCATTCCTAAATGCATTCCATCTCCATAAGTTGCATTTTTTAGATTTTATAAATGCAAATAGCTGTTCCATAGTTCTAGATACTCTTTGTAAAGAAATACTGTAAACTGAAAAAATGTATTTCTGAAGGTCCTAAACAAAACTTCTTTTCTAAAAGCAAGTCTGTGCAGGTCAACAATGAAACCTGAAATGTGGCTCATGGAGCCCTTTTTCTGATAGTATCAGAAATGTAATAAGCATAGTCAGTCACCTTAGTTCAAAGTATTTGTTTTCACAATACAGATGGCTTTTGATTGTATTCATCTGCAACTTGTCAGTAGAACTTGTCAGTAAAATATGAAACAATGGGATGACAGCACTGTGTTTATGTTTTACTTTGAACCAGGGGAACTTCTGAAGGGTGTCTCAGCTTTCTCCTTTTCACATGCCTTCTCATCCGGTAGCACTTACTGAGTGCCAGGGCTGCATCCATTTTAGATCCAGCCAAGATCAGGGATGTACCCTGGCAGCCCCTCAATTGTGCTTTGAATGCTCGTGAGGCTTTTACCCCACAGGATGGGATTTGCTCATGTCGAAGTGAAACTCCTTTAATTTGTATAGAGCAGATATCAGACTGCCACCATCAACTGTTTCTCTTCAGTAATCTTCTTTTATTGTACCACAGTGTCTGTGTTTATATAAAGTTGTAGCCATTCTAATGACTCAAGTTTCCTGCTAAAATTGTCTTTTCTTCAGTGAAAAACCTCAGTCCTGTGTCTTTGTACAGTTGAAAATTATGCCAGAATAGATTTGTGATTGTATCTAAATGTTCCATGTTTTTCTTTTGACAGTTTCCATCCCTATGTAATCAATATTACAAATTAATCACTTTCATATGTGAGATATTCCCTGAGAAAATTCCACAACTTCCAGAGGACCTCTTTAAGAGCCTAATGTACTCACTGGAGTTAGGGATGTCATCGTATCCTTTACAGAGCTTGGGAACATTTAAAAAAAAAATCTAAGTTGCTTTTAGAAGGACCTGTTAAAAATATAATTGATTTTTTTTTTCTTTTTCTATCAATATCTGCTTCAATATTTGTATATAACTATTTGACCCTTACTCTGCTCTCTGGGGATTGACAGTTTCACTGTAGTGTCCTTTGAGATTCCAGCATTAGCTGAATTGCCTCTGACTTGCAGTGCTTGGGTGCAGCCTTTAAGTAGCTTAGCATGTAAGTTTTTTCTGGCAGCCATTCCTGCCTCCTCCATTACTTCATTTCAGAGTGTGTAACTTCATAAGCCTTCAGCTGGTATCCCAAAGCCATTCCTGAATTAGTCTCTCAGCTGGTAATACAAAACATTGTTGCTGTTCTATTGGGCTGGCTCCAGAGCATTTCCTGTCAGGGTGCCAATGTGCTCTCCCTCTCATAATGGGAGTACCATTTTCACTAATCTGTGGCACGTGTCCGAAACAGATGAGCTTGACCATAAGGGACTCTTTCTGAAAATGTTATGTCAGAGAGGGTTATGTTACCTTAGGGCATGTGGCTACTAAAAGAAGATAATGAAGTTAGAAYCCTTTTTTCCCCCATTTACTAGTGTTTTTTAAATTTGTTCTTTTTTTAATTCATAGTGAAAAGAAACCTTGAAACATATAAGCATTTCAGATATTTTCTAGTGTGTCAACTGGTTAGCTTGACCACAATTTATTGAAGTCTGACTTCAAATTCTTTAACACCCATTATCAGAATGAGCTCAGAGGTTTGCCAGCTCTGTCTGGAGGCTGTAACACCATTAGCAGAGCAGTGTGCAAAAGCACAGGAAACAGATTCAACCCTTTTTCTAGCAACGAGGCATTTTCTTAAGGTAAGGCATCTATGTTTCATGTTACTTTGTTTTTTTGCATAAAGGTGGCATCCAGAGGCCAAACAGTGATCATGTCCTGGTTAATCAGGATCACACATATGGTAAGAAAGTCGGTTACCTAAAAAAAAAAGGATGGTATTTTAAGAAGAAAAAGGGCATGAAGAACTGAAGATTTTGGACTAGAGTACAAAAGAGGATGGAGGCATAGAGGGAAGCAATCCTTATTGCCAATAAACGAAAGACCTGAGCTCTTGGAATGCAGTTTATATATCCAKGCACTGCATATGAGCTTTGAACTGATGGACAGTTTTAGCAGTTACTGTGGAAGCTGTGAAAAGTAAGTTTTCAGAATTCCGTGAATTGGAAGCTGGGTAGAGTGCTGAAAGAAAAGACATGAAAAAGAGCATAGCTGGGAACAAGAAAGGAAATGCTGTCATTTATTCAATATATTAAATTAATTACATACYTTCTTAATTCAAAATCACATTCAGTACTTTCCTTTTAGGACCATCCACTTCAATGAATTTTGGAGTAACCTGGTAGCAACCAGGTTCCTACTAACTAGGAAACAAAGTAATTGTGGAACTTATGTGCTTGTCTTGTGATTTTGTGTAGAGTTCAGTTTTACTTAAGACATCTTTTCTTATCAAACTGACATTGAACTTTTCAGGATTTCTTATTAAAAGCTTCCACCAGACAAGCTGAGAGAATGAGAAAATTAAAAATTTTGTCTGTATGTATCTTCTAAGTTAATGTAGCTTTGTGCCTTATTTCTAAATTTCCACTTAAAATTATGACATTACTCTTACTTATGTTTGCAGTTTGACTTTCTGTGAGCTATAAGAGTCTCCAAAAATTGAGGAAAAGTTCCATATTTTATTCCGGAAAAGCAAAGGCTTTTTTTGTTATTTCTCTGGCAAATCTGCTGCTTTTAGAGAAAAATACAAGAGATGCCCTATTTCTCTGAAGAACAGTTGATATAAATCAGCAGCATATTTCAGTGCTTTGAGATGTGAATTTATGTTGTTAAGCCAAGACTTGATTTCTGAAAGAACTTGGCTTCCAAATTACTGGTACCTAAATTAAAAAATAAAAAAAAAAGCGGCAACAAAGCAAACATCAAACCTTGGATGTTCGTAAATACATGTTCATTGTTATTACCTGAAGTGAAGATGACCTTCAGCAGCAAATGTTGGTAAAGTAGAAAGTACTTCCTCAACTACTTTTGTTTTGCAATTTCAGATGGTTTTTGATATGCTGGTACTTCAGAAGCACAATACAGAAATGACAACWGCAGCAGGTGAAGCATTCTACACATTAGTGTGTTTGCATCAGGTATGGCATTCATAAACACCCTGAAGTAATTTATTAAAGGAGAGTGGTTATTTCTTGTGCACCTGGTAAATCATGGAATCATTTGKGTTGGAAGGGGGGACCCTCAGGAGGTCTGCCTGTTTCAGCTGCAGGTATTTGCATTTGTCTTYGTTGAGTTTCATGACTTTCCTGTCAGGTTGTTGCTCCAGCCTGAGTGTCTGTAAATGTCAGTCCTGCCCTTGAATGTGCTGGCTGCACTCTCCAGTTCAGTTACACTCATCTCATGTCTGGTGATGAATTTCCCTTCCACCTCCAGGTCACTGACTAAATATTTAAGGAGAAAGTCCAGATGAGAGCTCTCAGTGCCMCTTGGAATCAGCTTCCAGGTGGAATATGAGCCATTAGTCTCAATCCTTTATAGTCTGATGGTACAGATGTGTTTTTTTACACAAGTAGTAATTTGCCCATTTAGAGAATAAAATTGCAGCTTGATTGCAAGGGTCCAGTATACGATTGCTAAAGACTCACACCAGGCATTCACTGGACTCTTCTTATCCATAGATGGAGTCATTTTGTCAAAGAAGACAGGTTGGTAAAGCATTATTTACCTGGGTAAATCCATACTGGCTGTTCTCAGAATCACAGAATATGCTGAGTTGGAAGGGACCCATGAGGATCAAGTCTCCTGGCCCTACACRGGACCTTCCCCAAGAATCACACCATGTGCCTGAGAGCATTGCCCAAGCACTTCTTGAACTCTGTGGTGCTGTGACCACTTCCCTGGGGAGCCTGTTCCAGTGCCCAACCACCTTCTGRGTGAAGAACCTTTTCCTGATATCCAACCTAAACCTCCCCTGATGCAACTTCAGRCCATTCCCTTGGGTCCTGTGACTTTCACGTGCCCAGGAGTGCTTGCTTCATTATTTTCTTAGTCATTTGAAGATGAWAGAGAACAGCCAGTAATGAATGACATTGACCAGCTTTCTGAACCCTTGGATAGATTCTGTCAGGTCTCATGAACTTGCATGCATCAAGATTTCTCAAGAGATCCCTGGGTTGGTCCTCTTTACTATGCATAGTTCCTTTCTTCCTTGAACTCTGTCTCTAGTCACAAAGGTCTGGAAAAATCTGTCAGTGAAGACCAAGGCAAGAGAAAGCATTATTTCAGGCTTATCGCTTGTCTACTATCATTAAATCATCTATTCCATTCACCAGTAGAACCCATATTTTCCCTGTTCCTTCTTTTACTCTTAAAGTACTGGTAGAAGCTGTGTTTGGTGTCTTTGATGTCCTTTGCTAAATTCAGCTTTAGCAGAACTTCATTTTTCTGTCATTGTTCTTGTCCATATTATGTTCCTTCATTCCTCCTTTCTAGCTGTTCCTGCTTCTATTTCCTGTATTTGTTGCCCTCGTGCTGGAGTTCAATCAGTGCTTAGCTCAATCACTGTCCTCATTGCTTTCCTCAGTATCTGTACAAACCATTCTTGTGCTTGGAAGAGGTTGTCCTTAAAGAACTGTCAGCTCTCTTGAGCTCCTTTTTGTCTTCAGAGCTCACTCCCACAGGATTTCASCCACCAGTCTTGAATAAGGTGACATCTGCTCTCATGATGCCCCGATTCTGTACTTGGCTRCTCTCTTTCCTTGCTTTCCTTGGAATCCTTAACTCCACTATTTAGTGAYATCTGAAAGGATAGCATTAATTACCACATCCCTGACCAGCTCTTACTRGCTGTGAATAGCGGATGCAAATTCACATCCCTGGGTAGCCCATCTGGTATTTGAGCAAATGTTAGAGAGATATTGTCTTTAAGTCTGATCTGGAAACTTCCTCAAGTTGCTTAAAGATGACTYAGTCATCTGAAAGCCCTGTTCTGGGGATTTGTAACAAGATCCCACCATGATGTCATCTTTACTGCTCCTCCTCTGATTATAATCCATAAAAGTTCAACTCGATTGCTACCCACTCTGTAGAAAAAATCTTTAATTTGAGCTGCCTTTTCACRGAAATGTCAATCTTCTGTCCTCTTCTTCCCCAAAGAGCTCTAAAGAGTGTCCCTTGGAACACTCCAGTCATGTCACCTGTCCTACCACATATCAGTGCCTGAAGTGATGTTGCAGCTCCGAACCAGCACATGGAGCTCTAGCTCCTTCTGTTTCCAAAGTTGAACACATTTCTACACAGGCATTTCAGGTTGGCCTCCTTTCACCCTGTTTCATCCTTCCGGATGAACACTTTTAAACCAATCACACTTCCTTGTGTTCTTAGTACTCTTGGTTTCCATCCCTGTACTTATCTACAAGTTGTTATCACCATCCCTCAACATGCCCTTATCCTTCCTGCCAGATTGGTAAGCCTTTAGCAAAGATGGTCCTAAACCACTTTGTCCTATGGATCCTCTCTCTTGTTAGCAGCCCTTATCCCTCAAAGAGGGACTTGTGAACATGTTAGAGAAAAGTGCCCTCTGATACCACCCACAGGTGGCAAATTCTTGCTGTGTCTACCCTCACTCAACCCTTCATGGGTAGAATAGAGGGAACTGCCATTCTGGCTCCTGTATCCTTCACTCTTGCTCCCAACCCTTTGGACTTGCTTCAGGTATGTGCCCTTGGCAGTGTCCTTCTAGTCATGTTAGAAATGTTTCTTTGTCTTTTGTTTCTGTCTAAGTAAGCATGAGAGTGAGTAGCAGTCTCGGTTTGAGACAATGTTTTCAGAGAAAAATGTTACAGAGTAAATGTTTCCTCTGAAGTGAAAAATTTGACGACTTTTTCCCACCAATATGAAACAGATGTTCGGGCAAAAGTGAAGGGAAAAAATAAAAGTAGTTTATTAACAAAACACAGTGCCCACAGGACACAGATAAAAAGTAACTGTTAGATATTTAAAACTCAGGAGCACATGCGGCCCCCTCCTCCTACAAACCGCTCGGCCACATGGTGCGGAGGAAATGGCGGCTCCGTCCCTGGGAAAAAGAAACAAAAGAAAAGAGTCTACACGGCCGCTCCAGTGGCAACCTGGTGGCAACCTGGTGGCAATCCTCACTGTGGATGAAACAGAGGGTTCGGTGTGTTTTTCTGTCACTGGCTTGGCTTCCTCCAGAGTCCAGGATGATACGGAGCTGCCGAATTGCACCAGAAGGAGAATCACAGGAGCCRCAGAGGGAGTCTGTCCAGGGAAAGCGGTTTGCCCAAGCTAACAAACCTGAGCTAGCTACACGGCAACAGTGTAACTCTGCTGTACGCAGCGAGCAAGGACCTCCCACAGCCCCGAGTTCAGCTGCAAAAGCCAACGAGCTGAGCTCCAAAGYGGGCTGAGCTGCAAAAGCAAAAGCCTAACCCAGCCGCCCTTGCCCCTTCCTCTGGGTTGCATTTAAAGGCGCAGRCACCTTTTGGGGCATTACAAGCCAATGAATATAGGAATACAGGATTGGCACAAAATCAACCCAAGACATTAGCAAACTCTTAGAAAGGAGTCTAAGCTCTCTATCCCAGGGGAGGGACCCTAGAAAATGGAGAACCTGTGGGTGGAGATGATTGGTATGGAACGTGGGGCAGGCATCAAGAAAATGAAGTCCCATTTGCAGGAATAAACCTATGCTAAGAAAGAACCAGAAGGCCCTTTGCCTTAAAATTGTCATCTTACTCTGCACTGCAAAGCACTGTACCTTGCTTTGAAGTCTTCTTTARCCTTACTAAAAAACCCAGCCTGGATGAAGGATTTTATCTGGTTTAGAGGTAGGTGRAAGGCTGTGAGGACAGGTGGAAAGGTACTGATGTTTTTCTGTCACAGCCTTTATTCTGGATGTTGTCCTGATGAGAGAAGTTTTATACATTGTATCTTTTTTTAATGTTTGTTTAACAGGCTGAATATTCAGAGTTAGTTGAAACATTGCTATCAACTCAACAAGATCCAGTAATTTATCAGCGGTTAGCGGATGCCTTCAACAAGCTTACTGCAAGCAGCACTCCTCCTACACTGGACCGTAAGCAGAAGATGGCCTTCTTAAAGAGTTTAGAAGAATTTATGGCAAATGTTGGTGGACTTCTCTGTGTAAAATAAACAACAAAACTCTATGCCTAATTTAGACCCTTTCTGCAAAATGCACTGAGAAATGCTGAATGCTGACTAAATCTTGTACCTGTCTCTGGGTTCTTTGCAGCCATCTCAGATTCTAGAGAGCCTGGAAGTTTGAACATAACACCATGGAATAGGAGAGGTCAACTTTGAATCAGCTTCTGCTATTATGTGTTAGCTGCAATCTGTCATTCTTGGGTGTGGAAGAGAATGAACAGAAAATTTGAACTGAATTTTTTTTCCATTTATGCGCAAACAGATATGGGCACAATGAAATAAATGCAGTGCCTTTCCCCCTGCACTGGTTTAAAAGATGAGTGATAGTATAAATATACAGATTTCTACCCAGAAAATCATGTTAGAGTGTGATGCAGATACATATAAAGCTCTAAACAGTTTAGCTGATTTTAAGCTTTATTTTTCCTCTCTTAAAGTTTGAGTTTGTGTTCCAGTGGGGAAGAAAAACCAAATGGTATTTTAACTTGTGTTTAGTTCTGTTTTTCTACATCAATCTGACATTGCAGGTTTAATGCAGTGCAGATTTTTACATTATGTTCTGCTGCCTAAAGTTCAGAGGAAAAAAAAGGTGTATATTTTTGTTCCCCTAAAATGAACTTTAGGAATTGTAGCCATTTCATTGCCTTAATTTAAAAGAAAAAAAATAAAAAAAGCTCATATACTTTAGGTAAGAAATTTAAGGCAAGATTTGACTCTTCAGAGTTGGTTTAGGATGTTGGCACTGAGCAGCTGCATACCTGTTGCAGCCCTTCGTGTTGACTTGTCATTTTGGAATGAGTGTCCAGTGCAAGGTTCATGTGTAGTTTTACTTTCAGTATCTGTTTTGATTCTCACCTGGGTTGCACGCAACTACAATGTATTTCTACACTGAACTGTTTGCTTAAGCAATAACAACCCAGAAGCTGTGAATTACTGGCWAATTTTGTAATGTTGGGGCATTAGCTAAAATAATTATGCTAGCACAGGGGCATCAAACCCTTTTACTCAAGCATCATGTTGTTTGACTCCAGTGGGGAAGGGTAATTGGAAAGTCTAGTGCTGTAGGAGACTTGTTTTTGCTGAATCTGGCCCCATTTCTGCAGAGCTCTCCCAGCTGCTCTGCTCTTGCTTGGTTTTTTATATCAGCACTTTAGCTTTTATCATAGCAGAACATAGTGCCCTGCATATACAGAACCAACAAGGGACAGCAGCACATGAATATGAAAGCAAGGCCTGCTTTGTCTCCTGTCATGAGCCAGAGGAAACGGAAGCAACACAAATGCTGCATGTCTAGTAAAATTATTTTTGTGGAAATATACAGAGGCAGAAGTGGRCCCTTCTGTTTAAGGTTTCTGCTAGATTATGCTGTTGAAAATTTCCCATGTGTTTTTAAAATTTATATAAAAAGTCTGGTATACACCTTTATATGACTATGTATARCTTTGTGTTTGCAATTCTGTGCCATTCTTCAGCTATTCATCTCAAAATTACTCACAATAGCCAGAATCTCACAACAGACACAAATCTCTAATACTGTGCTATAAGTGATCTAAGACTCTTTTTTGTTTGGTTTTTTTTTTTGTTTTTTGGGTTTTTTTTTTTTTTTTTTTTTTTTTTTAATTAAATCCGTAAGTGTCTCAAGCATGGATCCACAAGGCCAAAAATGCCACCTCTTTAGTACACTTTTCTCTTTTAATTAATGAGTAAACTGGGCGAGGGCTGATTTACACATTACAGGGTGACCATAAAACTTCTTCTTCTAAGATTCTTTGCATAGTATTTTAGAACACGGGTATTGCTCTCAATTTTTTCTTGAAACTCTAGTACTTTTCTTTGAAGGACTTCTCAACTGTGCACTTGTGCAAAATATRATGATCCTGGTAGGTCATTCTGTTACAAACTGTTGTGATGGCTGAGTTTTTATTTTTTGAATTGGGATTTGCTATGTTTTTGAAACGGCTTCTGAAGTTTTTCTGAGTTTGTACATTGGATGCAGCAGCAGTTCTAAAACCTCATTTTTTTCAGATGAAGGTCATTGAAGCTTGGGAACATCAGCAGCAGTAGGAGCTGCTAGTTTGTTATGATGTGCTTGGTGTCAGATATCTAGACTGAAGTCTTCAAAGAGATCATAGCAAATACTCYGCTTTTTGGGTCAGACTGAGTAACTGATACACTCAGTCATCCTTTCTTTTATAACTAGCTCTGTCACTCTTGTTTTATTAAGCCTAAAGCTGGCTCACTATTTAAATATATTTATTAACTTCTAAGTATTGAAATCCTCCTGCATATTGTGATGAATGGGAGCATAAATTGAGTTTTGTTCTGGGCAAAGTAATGTTAATACTCATTACTTTTCTTGTCAGGCCCATTGTGTTGGAACAATCAGAGACACAGTATCATTTGAGTATCAAGACTTTAGCTAAAGTATGAACACTTGCTTTCAAAGACTAGTTTTAAAGGTGGTTTAAAAATTTAATTTGCCCTTCATTTAAAATTAATATTATATGTTAAAGGGAAACTGTCCTAATAAGGGTTTGGTTTTTTTTGTAATTTTCCTGGTTGATGTTGCACTTTCTTGTTTTTTTATTTTTTATTTCATTCTCATATATTCAACAGGGATCTTTCCATGCCATTTTATGTTTCTTTTAGAGCAAATGCTAAGATGTCTCTACTTAGTGACATCCATGAAATGGTTGCAAAGGCTTCTGGGAATAAGTCCTGTTCATTCATACTCCTGCTGGCTTGATGACTGCTTCTGTATCCCTACCAAAAAAAAAGAAAAAAAAAACCTTTTGTGATATTCTACACATCTAATTGCTCTAAAATCTGGATGTGAGAGCACACTGAGGTCCACAGGAAAGACTCTTAGACCATTTGTAGTGAACACTGAGAGCTGACTCCACATAAGTCTTCTGAAAGTTTTATAGCATTGTTCCATTGATTTTTCCATTCACTGTGCAAAGTGAATAATAGTTCTAAAAATGCACCTGGCTTTTGAAGGAATAAAAAAGGCAATTCAAACCGAATTATAAATGCTGCATGATATAATTGTAACAAATGTATTTGTCTAGACTTTTCTTGCTAAAACRGATTATGGACTAGGGTTTTCATTCCGAGACTAGAAATTAAGTAGCTTCTTTCCCATTTTGCCAGCTCCTTCCCCATTGTAATAGTTCTAATGCTGGCAAAGTAATTCTCTGTTGTTCAGCTTATAGTTTTCAATGCTGACAGGCATGACCCTTGAGTTAATTGTAAAATTCAAGACCTTCTTGAAAGCACAGAAAAAACAGGGACAGCGAGAAGTAGACTGGACGCATGAAATTTCCACTTTCACGTGCATTTATGCCTTAATTAGCTTCACTGAATTACCACCAGAATCTGCTACATTTTGCCCAGAGGTTAGTGTTTCACGGTTTAGTGGTAAAGGGCTCACCTTTTTTCTCAGGAATGAGAAACTTGTTTTCTCAGCATGTCCAAATCCTACTAGTTGGAAGAGAGGAGTTTTAATTGGCTTACCACTTTCATAGTGAGTARAACTCACTAAAGCCCCAGTGTTTACCTGGGCAAATCCCTTTATATCTAAGCCATGTGTTTCTAGAAAACAAGCTTACTCAGAGCAGTCAGTTGTCCATTTAAAATCTAGTTCTTTAAAAGGGAAAGCAAATTCTAATTTGTGATCTGTGAAAGTATTAAAAAAAATACAAATTTGCAGCATTTTGCTTGTAAAACACTCCAAGTAATTTCAGGTTTGGTTAAATAATTACATAAGAAGGGGTGTTTTTTATGGAAGTAGCTTGATGAATATAAGCGCAGGAGTAGGAGCCAGGCTCCTCTAATTTTCTAATGTTTTTCCACTGGATCCTCTGTGGCCATTGGCAAATTGCTAGAACTGTGTTGTTAAAATAGCATTAACACCTACCTACCTCACAGGGATGTTGTGAGGATTTGCTTATGCCTATAAAATGCATTGAGGATCTCAGATGCTATGTAAATATTATATACTTTAATTTTAGTTTTGTGAGGTGTAAGATTTACTGTAATGAAAACAGAAGATTTTCATAATTATAAAGCCAAGTAGAGGCAGCAGTGGTGCAGTATTCCTGGGACTGATCTACTGCAGTACAGTAATGCTTGCTGTAAATTGTCATTATTTCATTTACAGCTGATTGAAAAGGCGGCTTCTTCTTAAATAAGGTGAAATTTACCACCAGTGTGCCTCAGTTCTGATCCACACAGGGAGAGGACAGTTGTTTGTTATTCGGGCTTTGGTGCCTCTGCTTGTGACAAGTGCTGCTTGTGGTGGTAGGGTTTTTTGTTTGGTTTACTTTTGGGTTTTTTACATTTTTCTGTAAGGAACAAACACCACTCATTTCTCCCATGTCTGTTCCAGKCACTCAGTATAACCAAAGCCTAACGATAACAATTAAAGAGCCAGCCCTGCTCCCCTGCCCCCTGTCTATTTTCATTTGAGTAGACTGTGCTCTTTTTTCAGTGAATTAATGTTTCTAGCACTGATCATGAAGCAGATCATGAAGTGTGTTTTTCTCTAGAGCCTCAAACTCTCAACTGTCTTATAAAACCCTTTTTTCAGTATGAGATTTTTTGGGGCCCTAGAAACTGAGAAGTAAGATACCCCTGTCTTTCCCTGCTCTTCAATGAACTAAAATTTATTTTGCTTTTTCATTTCTTGCCATTCCCTATCCTGCTTTTCTTGTCCTTTTAAGCTATTCTTAAGTGGATTTGGAAGGCCTTTCCAACCTCAAAGGAAACATACTTCCCTTGTAATTTTCCAGTCTGTTGCAGCTTGATACTTGAAATTGGTAAGACCTCTTCTAATAGCATTCCCTACACATTGAACTCTTTGAATGAACATTTGAATCTCCCATTGAACTATTCTGCCATTTTTAATTAGGAAAAAAAAAAACCCAAAACCTATTTTATTTTTCTTTGTTCAAAATAAGGAACCTCCATGCAGTGAACATGCAGTTTTAAGGCCATAAATGCTAGTACTGCTGTTGGTCAAGTGTGTAAATATTTTAAATGTTTCATTCAGTACTGTGTTGAGTTTATATATTAAAAACACAGGGATTGAAGTGCAAGTTGATTTCAAGTATTGTTTTACCTGTACAGTTGAAGATACGAAGTTGCATAGAAGTATTTCACAGTTTATTGCAATAAGACTTGGGAAATGGCTGTGTAATCAAGCCTTATCACAACTGAAATTTCAATTTTGAAATGATCATTTTGTGTATTTTTAAGATCCGTAAGCAGGAAGAGGATAAAGTTGTTTTCCACTAAAGACTTCTATTATTTTGTTTTGGCCATGTGTGATTTGTGTGTATTCTTGTCGAATATTTTTCTAACATCTCGGCTGTATTGAATCTCTGAAAAAGCATCTCAGCTGTGTTGAATCCCTGAAAAAGCATTTGTTATACTTCCCTACAGTGAAAACAAAAATAAGAACATTATGAAAACTTTGTTAGGCTACACCTTTTGCTCTTTGGCTACAATTGAATGCACAGTAATTAGGTTAAAAGTTGGTGGAGTAACTTTAGTTTTCATCAGCACTTAAGACATGAGTTTGTCCATTGACAGAAAGAAGTGTGATTTGGGTGCTACAGGAGTATCTCACACTGGATTGCAATTACCAGAAATTAATCAAATTAATCTTTTCCCCAATCTGCCAGTAGAAATTTTAGCAGTGACTTTCAGATCACTATTATTGGTGGTATTTATCTACTCAAAAGGAATACTGATTTCTGGGTCTTTAATTTGTGTGTGCGTGTGTGTGTGCATTTAATCTAAGCAGTTTTTATGATGGTATCTGGCACACAAATGTTCTCCAAGCTCATAATCTGTTCCCATGCAAGGAACATCTAGCAGTGTGTTACTTGATGGATATCAGAAAAGTTCTGTTACAGGCAGCAGTTCCTAATGTGCTRTCATATAATTACATTTAGATAAACTACAGCTATTTTCTATTGTTCCCCTCTTACTTCCATGTACTCATATAATTAAAAAAAAAAAAAAACCTTCACAAATCCTGAAAGTAAAACTACGCAACAACTATGGTGGTGACAGCTTGCTATATATCTTGGCTGTTATATCATTAGAATTTTACTGGTTTCAAGAGTAACATTATGCAGTTACATATTTATATTGGCATGGTTTAGTTCAGTGAATATTTTGGGGAAGGACAGAAACATTTAAGGTAATATCGRGGAAATTCCTGAAAGCTTTTTTTATTCTGCTTTACCTTAAATACAAGTTCTGGAATAAACTTGAACGATTTGGGTACAAAGCCTTTATTCACACTTGTTTGTCTAAGTATACGSAAGCCCTATCAATTTTTTACCTTTTTGAAAATTATATTGGCTTTAGTTGTGAGTGGTACAATTGGTGGTGAATTTTTTCCTTCAGTGATTTGCCATGTCTTACAAGCAGAAAAGTAGGAAAGCACAGCCCTCCAAGTGGAATTTGTCTGGACGGCCAACCGAGGAGCAGGTTGTATATACACTGGAAGAGGGAAGGAGGAGAAGGAAGTCATAACTGCAGTCATATCCAGAGAAAATAAACGAGATCA